AAGCTGGCGGTGTTCCCACACCTCTCCCGCTATTACTGCTTCCTTCTTTGCCAGCTCTTTAGAAACTGAACGGATTACGAAAATAATTTATTCTGTTCTGTTCACATCATCCGAGTTCCCTGGTCACTGCATCTGGACTTCTGAGGACGGTGACGGAGAACAGACACAGACCTGACTGATAGCTGTTGTTGGCCCTGCTTCTTGATACTTTCACTGTGACCCTAAAGCTGCCTGTATATTTCAAGATCCAGAGGAGTTAGCCGTGTTAGTCTGTGGCTGCAAAACAGTAAAAATCCCAGTAGCACCTTCAAACAAACTTCACTGCAGCACAAGCAGTCGAGAAACACCGCTCTCTTTGTCAGCTGCCTCTGACAAAGAGTGCTGTGTTTCTCAAAAGCTTATGCGACAATAAAGTTTTGTTAGTCTTAAAGGGGCTACTGGCCTTTTTACTGTTTTGTACATGTCAAGACCTTACACGGTTTTTTAAAGTTAAAAGGCCTGCCAGTGTAATGTGGTGCTGGAAAAATGGACAATATTGCAATGCCCCTGTATAGATCTATGGTTGGGCCTCATTTGGAAAATCGAATACCGTTCTGGTCACCATGTTGCAAAAGCTGGAAAAGTGCTGGGGAGGACAACCAATAGGGAATTGGACCACCTTTCCTCTGAGGAAATGCTGAAGTCTCTGGGATTTTTCAGTTTGGAAAAGAAAAGACCTGGGGGGGGGGGGGGGGACGATAGGGGTTTATAAAATTATACACGGGGTGGGGAGAGTAGTTTTTCTCCCTCTCCCAAAAGACTAGAACTTGAGTGCATCCAATGAAGCTGTTGGGCAGCAGGTTCAGGACGGACAAAAAGAAATACTACTTTACACAGAGAGTGACTAAAACGTGGAATTTGCCGCCAGAGGATGGAGTGATGGACACAGGAATAAACAGCTTTAAAAGAGGATTAGACAGATTCGTAGAGGGTAAGTTTGTCAATAGTTACTAGCCACAGTGACTGAGGGGAACCTCCACATTCAGAGGCAGTCCACCTCTGAATCCCAGAGCCAGGAGGCAACCTCAGGGAAAGGCCTTGGCGTCTATGCCCTCCAGAGGAACCCTGTTGTTGGCCCTCCAGAGGAACCCTGTTGTTGGCCCTCCAGAGGAACTGGTTGGCCACTGAGTGAGACAGGATGCTGGACTAGGTGGACCACTGGTCTGATCCAGCAGGGCTCTTCTGATGTTCTTATGATGCTGGCAACTCCTTGGCACCCGCGGGCCAGGTAGGTAGGAAATATCCCATCCCACATGCTGAGAAGCACATTGTGAAAGAAGCAAACATATACGGTACACCCAATCACAAACCAGGAATGAGAAGTGGTAGGTTGAGCCGACAATCTCCCGCCGCAACCAAGCTCAGGTGTGCCGGGGAGCACACGCAGGGCAGGGCAGGCCAGTGCCTGGGGTCCAGATTCCACCAGCAAATACGGTTTTCCAGGACTCTCAAGGCATCTTCAAGACTTTTCACTCCAGCACAGCCTATCACAGGAGTCCCCAACAAGGTGCCTTTGGGCACCATGGTGTCCCTCAACACCCCTCTTGACCCCCCTCTAGGTGTTTTTAGAAAGTGGGTGGGGCTTTTGCCCAGCAAGGCTACTGATTGGCCAATGGAGACTTGATTGGCTGTGCAAACTTTTAAAAACATTGCCACCAGTGCACAAGGATCTTCAGTGTGTGAGCGAAGGTAAACTGCAGCAGCTTAAAAAGGTTGTGGGCCCCTAGCCGGGGGGGGGGGCACATGCAGCTCTATCACACATATTGTGTGGCTCCCAGTAGGGCAGCTGAGAAAGCGAAGGGAAGGCATACTTTTTCTCCCCCCATCTTTTTGCTTTCTTTGTCTCTCTCTCTCTCTTTCCACCTCACCTCTTTCCTTCTTTCTTTTCACCTCTCTCTCTCTCTCTCTTAGACAAATAAATATCACTAGCAAACAAAAACATATCACTGGACAAATAAATACCATCATCGATATCTGTTTTTACCCCCCCCTTTTTTTGACAGTCTCCTTTAATGTTAACAAAAAGCAAATGTGCATATTTTAAAAATAATGATGTGTGTAATATTTGTTTACTAGGTGCAAGGCCTGTTGCAGGAAGAGAGACAACGAGCCCTAGAGAGAGGTTGCCAGGCTCGTGCCCCCCCCCCCACCGTGCACTGGAGGCGGCGGGGCAAGCCAGTCAGCCTCTTCCCTCCTCTGTTGGCACGCTGGAGGCCTCGCCCATCCACAGCGCCATGCGCTGGTGGCGGGCCAAGCCGGGCGGGCTGGCTCCTTCCCCACCCTCCCGCCTGCTCAAGGGCCCGGCGTGCCAAGGTGGCCGGCCTCGTCCTTCTCCCCACTGGCCGCCCGAGCAAGCGAGCGAGCGACACACGTAGCGGTGGAGCGGTGGTGACCGAGGGACAGCCACTTGCCGCCCATTCCAGCCGCGCACGCACCAAGCCGGCTAACCTCGTCCCTCCTCCCATCACCACCACCCCATGGTAGGCCAGTTGCCCCGAGTGGCAGCCGACGGGCCAATGGCTGAGGGAGCGCATTTCCTCTCGCCACCCCATAGGCTGGTGGCCACCCCAAATCCCTTTTATAGTAAGGAGAGATGCCTTGCGGCTCTCAAACACCTGACGTTTATTCCATGTGGCTCTTATGCTGAGCAAGTTTGGCCACCCCTGCCCTAGCCTATCAGACGTCATCGTCTGCATCTAAAACGGACTCTAGTCCACAGGAGTGTATGCCAGAATAAAAATTCCTCAGTCGTTCAAGTGCCACTGGACTCCTTTGTATATTTACTACCCAGATACTCTTCACAAAACATTGGCATGTCTTTTCAGCCCTCAATAGAAGCCCCTCTCCTACCCCAGAGATTTGCCAACTACCTACACTTAAAACCCTTCCCTGCTGAAGGACAGGTGTGCCCCTAAGTGCAGAACCCATGCACGCGGCAAAGAATTCTGGGACATGCTCCGTGGCTCTCTCCCTGCCCACGCATAGACTGTGGCGGCGAAGCCAGTCGGGGCTTTGCTGTCTTCCCTTCCCAGAGGAGAGGCCTGGAGAACACCCAACGCCCACCTGCAGCTGCCGACACACAACAAGACTGGGTCAAAGCGAGCTTCTTGCTCTTCTCTTCCACGGCTCGGTTTTCGCTCTCATCCCCGCTCCGCTGCCAACTCCACCCACTCACGTTTTCTTGCTAATATTTACTTATTTATTCTTCTAGCCCGCCTTATTCGTCAAGGCAGCATGCACAAGATCCCAAAGGGCTCCCACACAAAGCATTAACCAGACTTAGTCCAGTCATAGTCTGAAGGGTTCCTAGAGTCTAACCCTCTATTCAGTGCAGGAAATTTCGTTAGCACATCTGCAATAAGTGGTTATACAGCCTCGGCTCCAAGACCTGCAGCGAGGGAGAATTCCATCACACTCCTAGCCAATGGCGTCCATTTGTCAGCTCTGCAGCTGCCATGGACTGGGGGGGGGATACTGAATGCTGGATAAATTGCCTCTGTCTGTTTCTCTTGGAACGTTCAGTTTCCCTTTTCCCTGCATCCTTATCGCCCCTTAGTCTGAGCTGGTGACCTTGGTTCCTTGTTGCTTCTGCTCCCTGGGAATGCTTACCCGTTAGGTTAGGCGGGCTTTTGCTTGACTCCTGATTGGCCCCCTACCACCCACTGACCCTTTTGATTCCTGTATATCACTAGCCTGCACGCACTTGCTTCTAGTTCTGATAATGAATGTATGTTCAGAAGACCTGCCTTTACTGTACTCAATAAACTTGAACCTTTTGAAGGAGCGTCGTTGAGAACTGATTGCTCCAGGACTCTGGCACCACTGTGGGACCGCTCCCCCCATTAGGACGTTTCTCCTAATACTCAACCAAAGCCTACCCTCACACACATGAAGCTGCCCTATACTGAATCAGACCACTGCTCCAACTAGGTCAGTGTTGTCTATTCAGACTGGCAGCAGCTCTCTAGTGTCTCGGGCAGAGGTCCTTCACATCACCTGTGGCCTGGACCTTAAGTGGAACTGCCGAGGATTGAACCTGGGACCTTCTGCATGTTAAGCAGAGAATCTACCACTGAGCCATGGGCCCTTCCCATTCTGTGATGTTGCCCTTGGCCCACCTAGGTCAGGATTGTCTACTCAGACTGGCAGCCGCTCTCCGGTGTCTCAGACAGAGGTCTGTCACATCACCTACTGCCTGTATAAATCGATGGTGCGACCTCATTTGGAGTACTGTGTACACTTCTGGTCACCACACCTCAAAAAGGATATTATGGCACTGGAAAAAGTGCAGAAAAGGGCAACTAGAACACTTTCCCTATGAAGAAAGGTTAAAGCGCTTGGGGCTCTTTAGCTTGGAGAGACGACGGCTGAGGGGTGACATGATCGAGGTTTATAAGATTATGCATGGGATGGAGCAGGTCGAGAAAGAGGTCCTTTTCTCCCTTTCTTACAATACAAGAACTCGTGGGCACTCCATGAAATTGCTGAGCGGTCGGGTTAGAACAGATAGAAGGAAGAACGTCTTCACACAGTGAGTGATGAACACATGGGATTCACTGCCATAGGAGGGGGTGACCGCTACAAGGATGGACGGCTTCAAGAGGGAACTGGATAAACCTATGGAGCAGAGGTCCATCAGTGGCTATTAGCGACAAAGTATAGATAGGAACTCTCGGTCTGGGGCAAGGGATGCTCTGTGTTCTTGGTGCTTGGGGGGGGGGACAACAGTGGGAGGGCTTCTAGTGTCCTGGGCCCCCTGCTGGATCTCCTGATGGCCCCTGGTATTTTTGGCCAGTGGGTGACAGAGTGTTGGACTGGATGGGCCGTTGGCCTGATCCAACATTGGCTTCTCTCATGTTCTTATGTCCTTTCAGCTGGAGATGCCGAGGATTGAACCTGGGACCTTCTGCACGCCAAGCAGATCCTCTGCCACTGAGCTACAGCCACACCTATAAGTCAAGCCTCTTAGAGCTACCATTGCCTTCTGGAGCGGCAGAGAACAAGTCACTTGCTTAGCTTCAGCAGGTGGCTGGACCCCCTTGTCTTCAGAACAACCCCTGGACCCCTCTCAAGCAGTCTCTTTTGAGGGGAAGTGGTCGGCAAGGCAGCCCGGGTTCTCCAGAAGCTGGTTTAGAAGCGACTGGTCGACCCCGCAACCCCCGGGGGGCTCCTGTGCAATGCTCCCTCTAAGTTATGGAGTCCTGTGAGCAAAAATTCTACTCTGTGAGCTACTGATATTAAAGTTGTGAGCCAGCAATTTGGCTACTGCATAAATTAGTTTGCTCCGGAGCCATCCTTCCTGAGCTAAGACAAAAATGTGTGAGCCAGAGGCTAAAAACCTGTGAGCTAGCTCACACTAACTCAGCTTAGAGGGAACACTGCTCCTGTGTTAGAGACACTTACGTCAACAAATTCCCCGGCGCAGACAAGGACCTCTCGTCTCTTCTGCTCCCTTCAAATGGGTTCCCGAAAGACCTTTTCCTGATCATTGACTTCACCAGGATCTGAAAGATGAAATTGACACATGGGGAGAGTCGGGAAGGACCACCAGGGCTTCTTCTCTGGGGGACAAAAGGACCTGGCAAGTTCTGCATCTGCCCTTGATTTTTATGTATCGAAAACATTCTTATGCCGCCTCTCCATCTGATCAGGGCCCCCGGTGATTCTGACTGAGAAACAGGAAGGAAGCTCTCGGGTAGTTCTTTGATTCAAACTTATTCAGGCCTTATTACTATCTGGGCTGCTTTCTGATGGATCCGTTTCAATCCTGTGGTGATTTCCTCCGATGCAAAAGAGCTCTCTCGCCTGAGGGGAAAGCACCACTGCTGGCTAAATAGATCTGCGGGATCCAACCCATTGTGATTCGTCTTTTGTGACCAGAGACAAAGCCCCACAATTATGGCAATGATTTCTGTACGTGCGTATTGAAAGCTCCCTGCACGTAACCTGTGGTTGGTTTATTAACATTCCATTCCTCAATGGACCTTCAGGGCAGACGGCAAAACACTGAAAACCCAACAGTAAATGACTATTAGTATCACTTCATGTTTATAGCACCTTACAATGTTGGACTGTTTTTAGATGATTTTAGGATTGTTTAAATTGTTACTGATGTGTTTTTATTCTTTTGTGTAAGAGAGAGAGAGAGAGAGAGAGAGAGAGAGAGAGAGAGAGAGAGAGAAAAAAAAGAAAGAAAGAAAGAAAGAAAGAAAGAAAGAAAGAACAAAAGAAAGAAAGAAAGAAAGAAAGAAAGAAAGAAAGAAAGAAAGAAAGAAAGAAAGAAAGAGAAAGGGAGGGAGGGAGGGAGGGAGGAAGAGGGGAAGGAGGGAAGGAAGGACGGAAGGAAGGAGGGAAGGAAGGACGGAAGGAAGGAAGGAAGGAAGGAAGGAAGGAAGGAAGGAAGGAGGGAAGGAAGGAGGGAAGGAAGGACGGAAGGAAGGAAGGAAGGAAGGAAGGAAGGAAGGAAGGAAGGAAGGAAGGAAGGAAGGAAGAGGGGGAAAGAGAAAGAAAGAAAGAAAGAAAGAAAAAGAAAGAAAGAAAGAAAGAAAGAAAGAAAGAAAGAAAGAAAGAAAGAAAGAAAGAAAGAGAAAGACAGAGACAAAGGAAGGAAGGAAGGGGGGAGGGAGAGAGAAAGAGAGAGAAAGAGAGAAAGGGAGGGAGGGAAAGAAAGAGAGAGAAAGAGAGAAAGGGAGGGAGGGAGGAAGGGGGGGGAGAGAGAGAGAAAGTTTGACAGTCAGTAAAGCCATCAGCCAGCTCCTTATTCTCCTAGTGTCATCAAACCAACATCAGTAAAACAGTCATCCACTGAAGGCCTGAGAATCAGCGTGAAAAGAATTACAGAGCGGAAAACTGCTTAAAGCCTCAGTCAGCACCCTGACCTGGATAGCCCGGCCAAGGCTGATCTTGTCATTTCTCAGAAGCTAAGCAGGGTCGGCCCTGGTTAGTCCTTGGATGGGAGACCTGTGACCGTCTCCTGCCTTGAAAACCCTCAAGGGTTGTTGCCATAAGTCAGCTGTGACGGGACACCCCCCCATCCCCATCTTCAGCATTCAATGGAATGCCAACAAGGCATTTATTGTTCCAAAGCCATAAAGCTGCTACAGAAAAGATTCACTATCTAGATGGAACTACCATTCCTCCACCACTACCACAAGTAGGGAGAGGGGTTACCCAAAACGTCTCCCTGATGGGCTAGTTTACTGCATGCGGGGAGACTTGTCAAGGGCATATGGCCATACAACTAGCACGGCCAAGGGGAGAGTGAAAACATAGCCCTTTCCCTGGTTGGTGAGTTTAGATTATCCCTCTCTCAAAATACTAGAACTTGAGGGCATCCAATGAAACTGACGGACAGTAGGTTCAGGATGGGCAAAAGGAAAGACTACTTCACACAGAGGGTGATTAAAATGTGGAATTCGCTGCCAGAGGATGTAGTGAAGGCATGTAGTGATGGTCACAGGAATAAACACCTTTCGAAGGGGATTAGATAGATTCATGAAGAATAAGTATGTCAATGGCTACTAGCCCTGGTGACTGAGGGGAACCTCCACATTCGGAGGCACTAAACCTCTGAATCCCAGAGCAGGGAGACAATATCAGGGGATGGCCTCGGCCTCTCTGCCCTGTTGTTGGCCCTCCAGAGGAACTGGTTGGCCTCTGTGTGAGGCAGGATGCTGGACTAGGTGGGACCACGGGTCTGATCCAGCAGAGCTCCTCTTATGTTCTTGTCAGGGGAAGGCCTCGGCCTCTGTGCCCCGCTGTTGGCCCTCCAGAGGAACTGGTTGGCCTCTGTGTGAGGCAGGATGCTGGACTAGGTGGGACCACGGGTCTGATCCAGCAGAGCTCCTCTTATGTTCTTGTCAGGGGAAGGCCTCGGCCTCTGTGCCCCGCTGTTGGCCCTCCAGAGGAACTGGTTGGCCTCTGTGTGAGGCAGGATGCTGGACTAGGTGGGACCACGGGTCTGATCCAGCAGAGCTCCTCTTATGTTCTTGTCAGGGGAAGGCCTCGGCCTCTGTGCCCCGCTGTTGGCCCTCCAGAGGAACTGATTGGCCTCTGTGTGAGACAGGAGGCTGGACTAGATGGCCCACTGGTCTGATCCAGAAGGGCTCTTCTTATGTTCTTAAATCATTCAAGAATATAAGCCCCTCTCCCAATGCCGAAGTGGTACAGTCCATCTCATTCTGCAAGCCGACGCAGAATGGTTCTTGTACACAGGCGTCCACCAGCTCCTCTGCAAAACTGCAAGGTTTTCTGGGAGCTGCCAGATTTAGGACTGAATTTGATTAAAGCAGTCCTAATCTGTGATTTTATATTTGGGTTTGATTTGATGTATTTTGATGTTCTCTATGTCGTTTTATTTATATGATAAGCCCCCTTGAGCTCCCTAAGGAGGAAAGGCTACTATTAAATGTTTTATATGAAAGGACTGAAAGGGGTATTTAAAGACAGGCTGTGACAAGCCTTCCCTTCAGACTCCCAGCAGGAAGAATCCGGACCGGTCCTCCAACCCCGCGCAGCTCCCCGCCTCCCACTCACCACCGTGGCCAAGCTCGGGATGTGTTTCACCGAATTCTCCACCTCTTCCTCCGTCACCTCCACAAGTGTGCAGTTCTCATCTTCTGTCGGCAACGGCTCCACTCCATTCTTGGTCACCCAAGGGTGCACCTGAAATGGAAAAATTATTATTATGGATTGCTTTTTAATGGCTTCTTTTCCTCAATGAAGAATGCGGTAAACCCGAGGAAACAGGAGCGAGGATCAGTCTGACTTAGCAGGGATGTTCTCATTGGCCATGATAGATAGGAATGTAACTTCCATGTAAGGGAGCAGTCTACCTGTGTAACTGAGACAACTCCCAGCACGCCCTGCTTGTGGGCTGGCTGCCCACTGTGAGAAAAGGGATATTGGATCAGCCGCATCTTCAGTATGATCCAGCAGAGATCATCCTTGTAATCGTATGTGAAGCGGAACGGATAAGAGTGATAACGTCCAGCAAAGCACAGGGTGCTGTTAAAGCAGACAAGTGCATCAGGAACACCAGAGAAAGCCAAGCCAAATGAGGCACTCCTGTACAAAGTTAAGCGCCCCACACCTCACAAGACCTTTTGGCATTTTAACATGAGATACCTTAATTTCCGGGACTGTGATCCTGGATTCGGGGGTTTTGTCCAGCATCTGCGTGATCAGATCCTTCAGCTCATCCGAAATATCTGGCCTTAGGGAGGAAGCAAAATTAAAATGAGCCAAAAGTACACTTGACAGAGCGGTCCGTGAGCAAACGAGACGGCCTCCGTTTCTTGAGATTCTCAGGTGAAGCTGCATGGGAAAGAGCAGGTAGAGAAAGAGGTACTTTTCTCCCTCTCTCACAATACAAGAACTCGTGGGCACTCCATGAAATTGCTGAGCGGTCGGGTTAGAACGGATAGAAGGAAGTACTTCTTCACCCAAAGAGTGATTAACACTTGGAATTCACTGCCACAGGAAGTGGTGGCGGCTACAAGCATGGACGGCTTCAAAAGAGAATTAGATAAGCATATGGAGCAGAGGTCCATCAGTGGCTATTAGCCACAAGGTATAGATAGGGGCTCTGGGGCAAGTGATGCTCTGTCATCTTGGTGCTTGGGGAGGTCAACAGTGGGAGGGCTTCTAATGTCCTGGCCCCACTGGTGGACCCCCTGATGGCACTGGTATTTCTGGCCACTGTGTGATACAGAGTGTTAGACTGGATGGGCCTTTGGCCTGATCCAACATTGGCGTCTCTTATGTTCTTATGCCTTATACTGAATCAGACCCCTCGGTCCATCAAAGTCAGCGTTGGCTGCTCAGATTGGCAGCAACTCTCCAGGGTCTCAGGCAGAGGTCTTTTTCATGTCACCTCCTACCTGACCATAACTGGGAATATCGGGGATTGAACCTGGGACCTTCAACATGCCAAGCAGAGGCTCTTCCACTGAGCCACAGCCCCTCCCCTCCGGTTTAAAGGGAAAGACGCACGTTTCCAGCCCTCGGGCAAAGATAGGCTCGGAAACGTGCGGGCAACTCCCTGGTGAAATCTCACCGGTCCAGGCAACGGAAGAAGGTTGCCCCTAGTCAAGGGATGGCGATTCTGGCTGACGTGTGCCGGGCTCATTCCCGGGACTTGTGGAATTCAAACATCCTCCAGCCCGGAACCACAGAGACTTGAGCCTCATCTGGTCCCATTCTGGAAGAGTAGTTAGTTGTCCCCCCCCCCCAGGGTTACCAGCCCCCTGCCGGGTATGAAAGATCCCCTGCCCCCAGGCCCCACCACTGGTCAGCTGGCTGGTGGGGAGACCTACCAGCAGGGGAGGCAGGCCGAGGCTGATGTTGCCAGCAATGCAGAGTCATCACTTCCAGAGGTAGGTGGGGCTGAGAGAGCTCTGACAGAAACTGTTCTTGACAGAACAGCTCTGAGAGAACTTGTGACTGACCCAAGGTCACACCAGCAGCTGCATGTGGAGGAGTGGGGGATCAAACCCGGTTCTCCCCGATTAGAGTCTGCACACTTAACCACTACACCAAGCGGAGCACTGTGATCTGCTAATCAGCATCTACTTGTAGTCCCCCGTCTTATCTCAACTAGGGCCAGGGCCTTTTCAGTGGCGGCTCCTACCTGGTGGAATGAGCTCCTATATGAGATCAGGGCCCTGCGGGACCTTTTACAGTTCCACAGGGCCTGCAAGACGGAGCTCTTCCGCTGGGCTTTTAGTTGAGGTGGCAGGCATCCTCCTTTTTATCTATCTATTGGGCCTCCCCTTTGGTGGACCAGATCTGGAACCCAACTGTGACAGGTTACATCTGTTGAGGCTCTGATGGGAGCTTTTACAGTTCCACAGGGCCTGCAAGACGGAGCTCTTCTGCCGGGCTTTTAGTTGAGGTGGCAGGCATCCTCCTTTTTATCTATCTATTGGGCCTCCCCTTTGGTGAACCAGATCTGGAACCCAACTGTGACAGGTTACATCTGTTGAGGCTCTGATGGGAGCTTTTACAGTTCCACAGGGCCTGCAAGACGGAGCTCTTCCGCCGGGCTTTTAGTTGAAGTGGCAGGCATCCTCCTTTTTATCTATCTATTGGGCCTCCCCTTTGGTGGACCAGATCTGGAACCCAACAGTGACAGGTTACATCTGTTGAGGCTCTGATGGGACCTTTTACAGTTCCACAGGGCCTGCAAGACGGAGCTCTTCCGCTGGGCTTGGTTGTGTTGTTACGTGAGGGTTTTTTTCATGTGTTCATTAAATAGGTTATATTTTATATGTATACTCTTTATTTGAAATGCTACTGCAATGCCGAAATTTTTTAATGCCCCCTGCTTTTGGGACCCCTGTCTGAGTGGAAAGGTGGCCTAGGAACGTTTTAAACGAGACGAGACAGCATCTGGGCCTTAGCACTGGGGGCATGTTTTCTTGAGAACCTCGCCCAGCAAGCCACGTGCTGGGAGCCTCGATAGTCTCTTGCCTCCCCCGCAATCCTCTCTTCCAGCTTTTTTTCTGCTTCATCGTCGAAGCACCAAAGCGACAATAACCCTCTAGGCACCAGGCACAGAAGCACCCGTTCTCTTGCGCACTCACTGGTCCGGGAACTCCAGCGTCTGACTCTTGATTTTGCTGTGCAGGCTCAGAATCCTCTCATCCATAAAGGGGCACTACGGGAGAAGAGGAGAACGTAATGGGGTTTCACGAAGGAAGAACCAGCTGGGGCTAACTTGGGCCGCCCCCCTCCCAAACCTCTCCTGACTGGAGCGGGCAGATTTTTCAGCTGAGAACCCAGTTGGGCCCCCACCTGCTTTGGAGGGCTTGGAGATGAATGGCCGGGGCTCTTTGGTGCTGGGAAGAGAACCAGCAGGCGCCCAGGAACCACAGCCTGATACAGCAAGCAGCGCTCCAGCACACGGCCCTCAAGCTGCTCGGCAATTTTCTTCCAGGCGCCTGGGCCTGCTCACTCAGGCTGCAGTCCAGCAGGGTGAAGACATGAAGCTGCCTTATACCGAATCAGACTCTTGGTCCATCAAAGTCAGTACTGTCCACTCAGAAAGGCAGTGGTTCCCAGAGTCTTTCCCCTCGTCTACTGCCTGGCCCTTTCTAACTGGTGATGCCGGAGATTGAACCTGGGACCTTCTACGTGCCAAGCAGATGCTCTACTGCTGAGCCACAGCCCCTTCCATAATAAATGAAGCTGCCTTATACTTGGTCCATCAAAGCCAGTCTTGTCTACACAGACTGGCAGCAGCTCTCCAGGATCTCAGGCGGAGGGCTTTCCCATCACCTACTGCCTGGTCCTTTTCTAACTGGAGATGCTGGGGACTGAACCCAGGACCTTCTGCATGCCAAGCAGAGGCTCTTCCGCTAAGCCACAGCCCCTCTTTACAGCTCTTCAGGGTCTCAGGCGGAGGGCTTTCCCATCACCTACTGCCTGGTCCTTTTCTAACTGGAGATGCTGGGGACTGAACCCAGGACCTTCTGCATGCCAAGCAGAGGCTCTTCCGCTAAGCCACAGCCCCTCTTTACAGCTCTTCAGGGTCTCAGGCGGAGGGCTTTCCCATCACCTACTGCCTGGTCCTTTTCTAACTGGAGATGCTGGGGACTGAACCCAGGACCTTCTGCATGCCAAGCAGAGGCTCTTCCGCTAAGCCACAGCCCCTCTTTACAGCTCTTCAGGGTCTCAGGCGGAGGGCTTTCCCATCACCTACTGCCTGGTCCTTTTCTAACTGGAGATGCTGGGGACTGAACCCAGGACCTTCTGCATGCCAAGCAGAGGCTCTTCCGCTAAGCCACAGCCCCTCTTTACAGCTCTTCAGGGTCTCAGGCGGAGGGCTTTCCCATCACCTACTGCCTGGTCCTTTTCTAACTGGAGATGCTGGGGACTGAACCCAGGACCTTCTGCATGCCAAGCAGAGGCTCTTCCGCTAAGCCACAGCCCCTCTTTACAGCTCTTCAGGGTCTCAGGCGGAGGGCTTTCCCATCACCTACTGCCTGGTCCTTTTCTAACTGGAGATGCTGGGGACTGAACCCAGGACCTTCTGCATGCCAAGCAGAGGCTCTTCCGCTAAGCCACAGCCCCTCTTTACAGCTCTTCAGGGTCTCAGGCGGAGGGCTTTCCCATCACCTACTGCCTGGTCCTTTTCTAACTGGAGATGCTGGGGACTGAACCCAGGACCTTCTGCATGCCAAGCAGAGGCTCTTCCGCTAAGCCACAGCCCCTCTTTACAGCTCTTCAGGGTCTCAGGCGGAGGGCTTTCCCATCACCTACTGCCTGGTCCTTTTCTAACTGGAGATGCTGGGGACTGAACCCAGGACCTTCTGCATGCCAAGCAGAGGCTCTTCCGCTAAGCCACAGCCCCTCTTTACAGCTCTTCAGGGTCTCAGGCGGAGGGCTTTCCCATCACCTACTGCCTGGTCCTTTTTAACTGCAGGTGCCAAGGATTGAACCTGGGGCCTGCGTGCCAAGCACAGGCTCTACCACTGAGCCACAGTTCCTCCCCATTCTGTACCAACTGTTTTCTGTTTTGCTTTCAGAGTGGTGGGGGTAACGTGAGGGGTTTCTTTCTTTCACATCACCTTCCTTTCACATCACCTACTGCCTGGTCCTTTCAGCTGGAGATGTCAGGTATTGAATAACCTGCAGCTACTGCCAGATCCTCTAACTGGAGACGCTGGGGATTGAACCGGGGACTTTCTGCATACCAGGCCGGTGGTCTACCATTGTGCCACAGCCCCTCCCGTGATGATGCTGATAGATCATTAAGTAGCTGGGGGTTGGAAGAAAAGCTCCCATGCCAGGCCCCCCCCCCCCCCCAGCCAAACCTGTCTTCCTCCAATCTGGGAGCAAATCTACGTTACTGACTTCCATGGCTCTATCGGTCCTTCCCCCTCCTTGATCTATGTTGGGGGAGAGAGCGCTGCCTTACAGCCTTTCATTGAGAATTCGGAGTACCTTTCAAACGACCAATTCCTATCTGAAGGAGTGAGCGGTGACTCACGAAAGCTCCTCCCCGCCACAAATTTTAAGTCTTTAAGAAGACGACGAGATTGGATCTATACCCCTTGGCCTTCACTACCCAAAGGAGTCCCAGAGCGGCTTACAAACTCCTTTCCCTCCCCCTCCCCACAACAGACACCCTGGGAGGTAGGTGGGGCTGAGAGAGCTCTGACAGGAACTGCTCTTTTTCAAGGACAGCTGTGCCAGAACTACGGCTTGCCCAAGGTCACATCAGCAGCTGTGAGTGGAGGAGTGGGGAATCAAACCCGGTTCTCCCAGATTAGAGTCCGCGCACTTAGCCACTACACCAAACTGGTAAGCTGCTCTTTTAAGGTGCTCTTTTCTCCCTGCTACAGACAGACTAACATGGGCTAACCATCATGATCTATCTACAATTCCTAAAATTCGTTTTTTTTTTTTGGGGGGGGAGGCGATTACATTGGGATAAAACTGCACCCACATTGCAGTTTGTATCTGTGGATTGGCTCTCTGACTACGGGGTCAGCATCGTCGACAGCAACACAACAACAACAATTGTGTGCCACGAAGTTACAACTGACTCACGGCGGTCCCAGGGACGATGGGGTTTTCAAGGCTATTGACTAACAGGTATGCTTTGCTATCGTCTTCCTCTGCATAGCCACCCTCTTCTTCCTTGGCGGTCTCCCATCCAAGTACCGGCCCTGCTTAGCTTCCAAGCTCTGGTGAGACCGGGCTCGTCTGTGCTGTCAGGCTGCTCACCCATGAAGCTGCCTTATACCAAATCAGAACACCATCCCCCAAGATCAGTGTTCTCTACTCAGAGTGGCTGCAGCTCTCCAGGGTCTCAGTTTTTCACACTTACTGCCTGACCCTTTTCACTGGAGATGCCAGAGATTGAAACTGGGACCTTCTGCAGGCCAAGAAGATGCTCTGCCACTGAGCCAGGGTCCAACCCCGTCCCCCTGCTCACGATAATAATAAATGTACTACATAAAGTTCCGCAAGGCCTGCAAGACAGAGCTCTTCCGCCAGGCTTTCAAGTAGGAGCCGCCGCCCCTACTATACTACCACCGCCCTGAGGTCCCGATGAAACACCCAGTATGGAAGAAGCCTCTGCCGTCTTCTTGGAACTTTGGACATTCGATCCGTCATCCTTAGATTATGAATGGCACTGAGCACTTTGTTTAATTAAGAGTCTAAGATGTAGTACATGTTTTAAATTGTTATGTATATTACTGTTTTATCATGGCAAGTTGTCTTGCCTCTGTAAGCCGCCCTGAGCCCACTGGGGAGGGCGGGGTATAAATACGAAAAATAAAATAATAAAATAAATAAATAAATTACCCTGTTAGACTGCAATTAGTAATGAGGAAAAAAACTGTTAATAAACAATATACTTTGTGAGATCTTGTCTTTCTAAGCTTATGTGTTAGTTTATTACTTGTTATGAGAAGATTTCCAGAGCATCTCCTCCAGCTCTCTTCGTAAGGGCAATAAAAAATAAAAAAATCCCCTCCGGGGGTCTTAAAATAAATAAATAAATGTAATAAACTCTATAAAAATGTAGGTACTCAATGTGATTTCCGAAGAAGAAGAAGAGATGGGATTTATACCCCACCCTTCACTACCCAAGGGAGTCTCAGAGCGGCCAGAATTAAACTTGGCTGCTCTTAAAGGTGCCACTGGACTCAAACCTTGTTCTAATGTTGAACACCCACAAGCAAAAGAGATTCTTTCTTCTGGTCATCAAAAGAACTTTAATTCCGCGCTGGACCCAGAACTCTCGAGAACAGCTGAGCTCCTCTGACCAAGCATCTATGGTTCATTGGGCTGTTCGTCTCTGACTGGCTTCAACTCCCCCTCTAACCGAGCACCTAGCAGCACCCAGAACCTGAACCTGCCCGCTTTTAGGTCCCTCACTGTGTGGATTCTCTCATTGGGTCTGCCCATAGCCTGGCTTCTGGTGACCAAACACAGTCTTGAAAAAGTCACAACATTCCCTTACCTGCCCAAAAACAAAACAGTAGAGGGTGATCCCCATAGCCCAAACATCTAAAGCCTTGGAAAAAGAGAGAGAGATTACGTACATCAGTTTTCCAAAGTATTCTTGCTGCTTTAACCTTTAATTTATACATTATGCTGTCATTTGGAAACTAAAAACAAATCAGAAAAAGCTACCGTGGTTATCAGAAGAGAATGCTGTCTGTGTTTGTAGCCACCGTCACTGCCGCAGAAAGTGGCGGCGGCTACAAGCCAAGACAGCTTCAAGAAGGGATTGGAGAAACATCTGGAGCAGAGGCCCATCAGTGGCTACTAGCAACAAGGTATAGTTGGAACACTCGGTTTGGGGCAAGTGATGCTCGGTCTTCTTGGGGGGTCAACAGTGGGAGGGCTTCTGGAGTTCTGGCCCTGCTGGTGGACCCCCTGATGGCACCTGGGTTTTGCCCACTGTGTAGAGCAAAAACAGGGGGAGGGCTTCTGGAGTTCTGGCTCCACTGGTGGACCTCCTGATGGCACCTGGGTTTTGGCCACTGGGTGATACAGAGTGTTGGACTAGATAGGCCACTGGCCTGATCCAACATGGCTTCTCTTATGTTCTTACAGACAGATTCAAGAGGGGATTGGATAAACATACGGAGCAGATGTCCATCAGTGGCTATAAGCCACAAGGTATAGATGGAACACTCTGTCTGGGGCAGTGATGCTCTGTCTTCTTGGTGCTTGGGGGGGGGAACAGGGGGAGGGCTCCTGGAGTTCTGGCTCCACTGGTGGAACTCCTGATGGCCCCTGGGTTTTGGCCACTGGGTGACACAGAATGTTGGACTGGATGGGCCACTGGCCTGATCCAACATGGCTTCTCTTATGTTCATATGTCTGGGACAGTGACGCCCTGTCTTCTTGGTGCTTGGGGGGGCACAGTGGGAGGGCTTCTGGAGTTCTGGCCCCACTGGTGGACCTCCTGAGGGCACCTGGGGTTTGGCCACTGGGTGACACAGAATGTTGGACTAGATGGGCCACTGGCCTGATCCAACATGGCTTCTCTTATGTTCATATGTCTGGGACAGTGACGCCCTGTCTTCTTGGTGCTTGGGGGGCCACAGTGGGAGGGCTTCTGGAGTACTGGCCCCACTGGTGGACCTCCTGAGGGCACCTGGGGTTTGGCCACTGGGTCTTTTGCCACTGCCTGCCCCTGCATACAAGCCCTGGACTTCTCTGGCGGCCTCCCATCCAGGTACTAACGAAAGACAACCCTGCTTAGCTTCTGTGATGAGGCAAGCCTGGGCCATTCACGCCAGGGAAATCCCCAACGATGTAATTCTTACTTTAAAATTCAACGTGTCATGGATTGAACCTGGGACTCTCCGCATGCAAAACTGGTGTTCTGTCCCTGAGCCAAAGACCACACCAGAGCAGCGACGCAAAACATTCCCCAAGCCATGCCCAAACCCACAAACCCAGAGCGTTCCAATATACCTTTCCCGAAAATATTTTCCTGGTTTCCGAGAGGGTTTCCGGGGCCATGAAAGCCGGGGTGCCCACTGTGTTGGTTAGCAGAGCATCGGCCCCTTTGAATTCGTTGCTCACACCGAAATCCGCGATCTTGATGTGACCGTCTTCCCCGACTAAGAGGTTGGAAGGCTTAATATCCCGGTGGATTATCTTTTGGTAATGCACTGCGGGGAGAAAGACGGGAGGAGACACAGATCGGACGCCATCTCAAAAACTCACAGGACACCCACACCCTCTCCTTTCAAATCTGGGGGACAGTTTGCAATGCCGGACGTGGGGAGGCTTTGACCAGCTCAAAGCTACATCCATAGATGCGGAAAGAGTAGTGTCAGGGTTGAGAGACTGAGCTATAAGCCACAAAAAATGATGCTGGCTCCGGTCACATGGGCCGGAAAATGCGCGGGGGGGGGGAGGAGCGTGGCTGTTTGCCCCGGGGCAAAATAACGTGCGGTTGCGTGATCAGACGTCCCGTGGAGGTCCCGTGGTTAGGGGGGAGGTGCCGATCACAGGACAATCCTGCCACGCGGCAAAGAAGTGGCGCGGCAAACGGGTTTTTTTTTTGGTATACTGAAGTGTGCGCATGCTCCGTTGGGTGCTTGTGCGCATCCCTGGAGACTTGGGGGGGAAAAACCTTTTTGCGAGGGGACATGGGCGGGCGCCGGATGCCACGAACTACCACCCGAAACACGATCAGACGCCCGCCCTTGCCCCGCGGTTTCCGGAAACTAGTACCTCGGAGGTACTAGTTTTTTACCCCACATCTTCGGCGGGAAGCCTCGGGGGAGCCACAGGAGCACTACGCTTCCCAGATGTGGCGGTGTGATCGCACCCGGAAAATCCACCTATCTTCCGTCTCTGTAGCATGGCTACTGCTCCGTGTGACCGCAGCCGCTATCTCACACACTGAATAACACACTTTCAATCCACTTTTCTTTTGGTATTTTTTTATATGTGCATGTGTGTGTACACCTGGAAGTCAAGGCGACTTCTGGCGACTGACCCCTACTGGGGGCCTGGAGGATATTCAGAGAGGTGGCTGAATGAAGCCTGCCCCTGCCTCCCGACTGCTGGTATTCCTTGGAGGTCCCCCTTCCAAGTACTTGCCAGAGTCGGCCCTGCTTAGCTTCCGAGATCTGACGTGATCGGGCTGGCCTGGGCGATCCAGGTCAGGGTGCTTTCAATCCACTTTGCAACTGGATTTTACTGTGGCAAAATCCACTTGCAAACAATTGCTGAAGTGGGTTGAAATGGCGTTATTTCGCATGTGTAAAAGAAGAAGAGGAGATTGGATTTATACCCCACCCTTCACTCGGGAGTCTCAGAGCGGCTTACAAACTCCTTTCCCTTCCCCTCCCCACAACAGACACCCTATGAGGTAGGTGGGGCTGAGAGAGCTCTGAGAGAACTGTCCTTGAGAGAACAGCTCTGACAGAACTACGGCTTGCCCAAGGTCATCCAGCAGCTGTAAGTGGAGGAGTGGGGAATCAAACCCGGTTCTCCTAGATTAGAGTCCGCGGACTTAACCACTACAATGTCTCCACATCGACTCTGCCCTCAGCCATTAACTCACCTTGGATTACAGACAGATTATTTTTGCCCCCAGAGGACTGAGAGAGCAGTTTTAAAGAGATGGCTACTTGTGGTGTGTGTATATATAGATATATCTACTTCCTCTTCTCATAAACAGGGAACGGAGGGGTTTATTGTTTCCAAAACCTGTTTCAACAGGAGGGGCAGCGGGACTAAATGTTTGTACCTTATGGCTTTGTGCAGTTTCACATCGAGGAAGAGGGTTTCGTGGCATTGCACACACACTTCAAGCTTACCCAAGGAAGAGGGGCTGAAACTCACCAAAGGAGACTGAGGGCCAATCCACGTGTGACAAAGTCTGTGTGGGACATGTTCTGTGAGTTACCCAAGCTGGCTGGATCGGGACCACGGCGCAAGAGGAGACGGGAACTCAGTCTTCCCCCCCGTGCCTGACCTCAGACGGCCCAGGAGAGCTGCTAGTGGCCTGCTGAAGACAGTCCCTATGGCGCTGTCCGTGTGTCTGATGTATAGACTAGGTAACATGAGAACTGGCCTTAATATATTGGGGATGGGAGAACAGAGTGGAGAAATCGTTAATGTGGAATCAGCTGCCTGGGGAGGTGGTGAGCTCCCCCTCGCTGGCAGTCTTTCAGCAGCAGCTGGACAACCACGTTATGGACGCTCTAGGCCAGTGGTGGCGAACCTATGGCACACGTGCCAGAGGCGGCACTCAGAGCCCTCTCAGTGGGCATGCGTGCCATCGCCCCAGCCAGGCCCAGATCGTCATTAAAGTGTCGAATTCTCTGCCAAATAATTTTAAGTAAATGAAAGCATTTGGGATTGCTTTCCTTACTTTGTTTGGATCATCTTATGTTAATGTATGAGTTCTTTTTTCTAAACGAAAACCTCAGTATTCAGGTTAAATTGCCGTGTTGGCCCTTTGAGATCAATAAGTGGGTTTTGGATCACAGGTTGGGCACGCGGTCTCTGAAAGGTTCACCATCACTGCCCTAGGCTGATCCTGCATTGAGCTGGGGGCTGGACTAGATGGCCTCTAGGGACCCTTCCAACTCCGTGATTGTCTGATTCTATTCTTCTGAAGTGTCGCAAGCCGCCTGAGGACTTTTATTGTCATAAAGCAGGATATAAATATAATTAATATAGAGATTCATAGTGTCGGAGACATTTCTCAATGCGTGCCTGGATACAGCTCCCCCCCCCCCAGATTACTTTCTGTCCTCTTCCACTCTTGTCTGTCTCCATCTCAGTGGCTTCAAGTTAGCTACTGTACCCCAGCCTCCTCCTGCCAACCTAGCAGTTCGAAAGCAAGAAATTGCAAGTAGATAAATAGGGACCACTTCGGTGGGAAGGGAACAGCCTTCCGTGCGCCTTGGCGTTTAGTCACGCCGGCCACATGACCACGGAAACGTCTTCGGACAGCGCTGGCTCTTCGGCTTTGAAACGGAGATGAGCACCGCAACCCTAGAGTCGGACTCGACTGGCTTTCGAGCAAGGGAACCTTTACCTTTACCTTTAATCCAGCCTCACCTTTCCTACCTGTTGTAAGGGTATAGCAATACTGCCTCTATCTTACAGGGTGGCTGTTGCTAGATTCGAGTTCAGAACCCTCTTGGAGATCAACAAGATTTTTGGGGTACGAGCATTAGACAGTCAAAGCTCCCTTCATTGGATGGTTTCAGGCGGCAGCTGTGTTGCTCCTGTGATCTCTGAGATCTTGTAGATTACGTAATAACTTTGAACACTCCTAAATGTTACTATTGGAGCTGCGGTGGCTCAAGGGGTTAAGACGCTGAACTGTAGGCTGTGGAAGGTCAGTAGTTCAGCAGTTCGAGACCCGAGTGTGCCGCATGACGGAGTGAGCTCCCGTCTCTAGTTCCAGCTCCTGCCAACCTAGCAGTTCGAAAGCAAGAAATTGCAAGTAGATAAATAGGGACCACTTCGGTGGGAACAGCGTTCCGTGCGCCTCGGTGTTTAGTCATGCCGGCCACATGACCACGGAAACGTCTTCGGACAGCGCTGGCTCTTCGGCGTTGAAACGGAGATGAGCACCGCAACCCTAGAGTCGGACTCGACTGGCTTTCGAGCAAGGGAACCTTTACCTTTTTAAATGTTACTATTAGGTCTTCTTGACTTGTGGGAGCAAGAGCTAGTTTGGTGCAGTGGTTAGGAGCGCTGCTCTAATCTGGGAGAACCGCATTCAATTCCCCACTTCTCCACATGAAGTCAGATGGGTGACCTTGGGTCAGTCACAGCTCTTCCCTCTTTGTGGGGGTGAGAGACAGTTTGGTGTAGTGGTTAGGAGCGTGACTCTACTCTGGGAGAACCGGGTTTGATCCTCCCCTCCACACGAAGCCAGCTGGATGACCTTGGGTCAGTCACAGCTCTTCCCTCTTTGTGGGGGTGAGAGACAGTTTGGTGTAGTGGTTAGGAGCGTGACTCTACTCTGGGAGAACCGGGTTTGATCCTCCCCTCCACACGAAGCCAGCTGGATGACCTTGGGTCAGTCACAAATTCTCTCAGAGCTGTCCTTGAAAGAGCTCTCTCAGCCCCTAAAACAAGCCTAGCTCGCCACCTAGTGGTGCACAATGCTCAAATGAGCTACAGCTCCTCGGCAGCCAATCCTATCAAGATCTCCTGGCTATTCTACACCCAATCCCATACAATAATTATTAATTTTTATTTGTCGGGGCCAGCCACAGCTCCTCACTCCGTGCATCCTCAGAGGCACTCTGTTCCTGATTACTTCTCCTGTTGTAGGGTTGAATCCCAGGGCTGAAAATAAACACTGCATCTCAGCCTACCCTCCAGTTACTCCCCACAAGCCGGCTTTTTCCCATTTTCTTGCCATTTTCCCAGACGTCACCCAAAATGCTTACAGTATTCAATGCCTTTGATCAAGTCCTGGAAGTGGAAGCGTGCCTGGTCTTCAGTAAGAGGTTTCAGGGTTGGGACTTCCATCACAGGCCTGCAAGGGGCAACAGACAGAATTATTCTTCTAAGAGAATGAAACTGTCAGAGGCAAGAAGGTGAGCAGACCATCCCTAATCTCGCCACTTAATGAGTCACAAGTAGAACCATGTGGATTTTTATTGGCTCCTTATATCATCTGACTTCCACTGAGCTATTAGCTGCAATACCAGTTTCTGCCTGTCCTCGGTGGTGGCACTGCAGAGCTTCAGAGAGCAGGCTACCACTGAGAGTAAGGCAACAATGTCCCACTTATCAGAATCCCTAGCCTAGCTTGAAGCTCAGTGCCTTACACACTCCTAGCACTTAAATGATCAGATATGCACATAAGATGCAGCAGCAAACGAGGGGGGGGAGGAGAATGGCGCAAGGCTTTCAGAGTTCAAGGGGCAGAACATCGACACCCTAACATCTCTTTCTGCAGAAGCAGGACAGTCAGGGTGGTGTAGTGGTCGGAGTGTCAGACTAGTATCTGGGAGATCTGGGTTTGAATCTGCAATGGGCCAGTCACACTCACTCAGCCTAACCTACTGTCAGCTAGCTGCCATGTTTTCCTGGATCCCTTCCCCGACCCTGGCGCTACGGCGCATGCCCCATCGCTTACTCGCTGCTCGGCTCGCTTGCTGTAAACAGCGATAGGGAGACCGTGAGAACCAGTGCTGCCAGACTGAGTTATCTATCTGTCCTTGTGACGAGGGGAGGGCTTGTGTTCCACCGCTGGTGTGAATATTTCGGCTCTCATGGAGCACTGAGACTCTCCCGCTTATGATGTAACATCCCGCTGGGAGATTTCCCGCGCGCGTGCTCGGATTTCATTTGCTTAGCCGTTTGCCTCGTCCTGCTACAGGAAGGGATGGTCCCGCCTTAGTGTCATTCCTAACAATAACCTTGTGGACATGGTGACAGACCTGTAGTCTAATAAAGCGTAACGCTTCTTAGGAAACGTGTGTGGAGATTGACTTGCTGTTGAACCTGACACCTACCTCACAGAATTGTTGTGAGGATAAAATGAAGGAAAAAGAAGAGATTGGATTTATACCCTGCCCTTCACTACCCAAAGGAGTCTAACAGCGGCTTACAAACTCCTTTCCCTTCCCCTCCCCACAACAGACATCCTGGGAGGTAGGTGGGGCTGAGAGAGCTCTGACAGAAACTGCTTTTTTTCAAGAACAGCTCTGCCAGAACTATGGCTTGCCCAAGGTCATCCAGCAGCTGCGAGCGGAGGAGTGGGGGAATCAAAGCCGGTTCTCCCAGATTAGCGTCCGCGCACTTAACCACTACACCAAACTGGTTGAGAGGAGACCGATGTAAGCCCCTTTGGGGAGAAAGGGTGGGATATAAGTGGAGGAAATAAATTTTTAAAACGCAAAATATGCTTATCAGACCAACATGTGTAACAGTATGAGCCGGTATGGTTAGACTAAGGCCGAAGAAAACTGGGTTTAAATCTCTGTTATGAAGCACCCTGGGGAATTTGGCTCAGTCACTCTCTCTCTCATCCTAATCTACCTCACAGGATTGTTGTGGAGATAAAAAGGAGGAGAGAACCATGCAAGCAACCCTGAGCAATTTGGAGAAAGGACAGGGTTTAGGGTTGCCAGCCTCCAGGTCTGGAGTCACAACTGATTTCCAGAACACATCAGTTCCCCTGGAGAAAATGGCTAATTTGGAGGGGGGACTCTATGCCATGGTATCCCTGATAACGTCTCTCCCCACCACCTACCCCCGGCTCCAATCCCAAATCTCCAGGAATTTCCCAACCCAAAGCTGGCAACCCTATCAGGATACAAAGGCAACTGACAGATAATACCCCTTTATTCTCTTAGGAAAATGTTAACTCCCTGTCTTTCCAGTTAAAGGATACCTAATGCAGCTGACGATAATAAAAGCAGAACCCATCCGGAACATCCATCATAATAAAGAGAAGCGGCCGTAAAAATGCATCAATATCGAGAAGTAAGATCCATTAAAGGAACAAATAAAGTGCAACCGCGTCTTAAAACATCATCCATAAAAGAGCAGCCTGTCCCGACAGGCACACCGGGGCAGGGCGGCACCTTAAAAGCCTTCGGCACCATGGGACAAGGCAAACCAACTGCCCCGATGTGCAAAAGGGGACGGCATCTGCTGCACTTCTTGCGGGCGGTGGGTGGGGAGAGGAATTGCACAGCCAAGGACAAGCAGCTGAAAAAGCCCTGTCAAGGGTGCCTACCACCTGGGCTCCTGCAACCAAGGGCTGTGGCTCAGTGGAAGAGCCTCTGCTTGGCATGCAGAAGGTCCCGGGTTCAATCCCCGGCGTCTCCAACTGAAAGTACCAGGTGATGCGAAAAGACCTCAGCCCGAAACCCTGGAGAGCCTTTGCCAGTCTGAGTAGACCGTACTGACTCTGATGGATCCCAAGGGTCTGATTCAGTATAAGGCAGCTTCACGGGAAACCAAGTGGCGCCACCCAATCTTTGACCCTGGGCACGCTCCAGCGCAGGGTTGGCCCTCAGCAAAGTGTACCGGGCACCAGCGAAGCACGGGTTCTCGGCCCGCTACCTGCTATTGGTGGCCAAGAGGGGATCGGTGTTCCCTCTTGGGCCTTTGTCCCCGCCAGCCAGGTCCAAGTCAGGACCCCGTGGCCCAGAAGGACCCAGGAGGGGGTGGGCAAACCAGGGCTGGGCGGGGCAACAAAACATCTTGAAGATATTTGGATCCAAAATGTGCAAAAGCCAGTTGGGTATAGTGCAAGAAGGATCTGGGAGATCCAGGTTTGAATCCTCACTCGTGCCATGGAAGCAGGCTGGGGGACCTTGAGCCTGTCACACACTCTCAGCCCAGCCTACCTCACAGGGTTGTTGTGAGGATAAAATGGAGCTGGGAAGAAGGATGGAAGCGGCTTTGGTTGCCCACTGGGGAGGAGGAAGACAGGTATAAACAGGGTTGCCAGTCTCCAGGTGCGGCCTGGAGATCTCCCAGAATTAGAATTGACCTCTAGGTGACAAAAGATCAGTCCCCCTGGAGAAAAGGGCTGCTTTAGAGGCTGGACTCTATGGAATTACACCCCACTGAGGTCCTGGCCCCTCACCAAGCCCCTCCTTTCACCTCCCAAAATCTCCAGGAATTTCCCAACCCAGAGTTAGCAACCCTAGGTATAAACGAAGACAAATAAACACTTCGAATTATGCAGATTCAGTTCCCTGAAGGGTTGATTCCACAAGAGAATTTAGGTCCACTTATGGCAGGATCTTCTCCCTGTGTTTGCGTCTCTGCTTCAAACGGCCACCCAGCGTGCAGGACTCTGGCTAGAGCGGCCGGGGACAGAGCCGATTTCGAGACGAGGGGGAGGCTCACACAGACATGGCCGTGGAACAGTGCGAAAAGGGGGAGAAAAGGCAGACCGCACGTGCCGTCCTAAGGGCAGGGAATGAATGTTAGGCTGCCGGATCCTCGGGAGCAGGTCTCTCAGCCTCAGCTGTGTTGTCCCAGCTTAATTAACACCCCTGTACGTGCGCCTTGGTGTTTAGTCATGCCGGCCACATGACCACGGAAACGTCTTTGGACAGCGCTGGCTCTTCGGTTTGGAAACGGAGATGAGCATCGCAACCCTAGAGTCGGATTCGACTGGCTTTCGAGCAAGGGAACCTTTACCTTTTTACAAATGAATCAGCAATTAATGCAATAATAACCATAGGAAATCTTACCCTTTTTTCACAAGCTCAAATACTGGAAAACAAAAGGAAAAAAGACAATTCAGTATGGGAAGCGGGGCCTTCGCAGGCAAAATCCATCTCATTTTTTAAAAAAACGCTTAACTCCTCGGCCGTTTTAATCTCACACGTGACCGTCAAACGTTCCTGGAAACCAGGGTTCAAATGCCCACTGTGCCATGAATCTTACTGGATGTCACTTCAGGCCAGTCGCACGCCCTCAACCTAACCTACTTCTCAGGGTTGTTGTGAGGGGAAAATGGAGGGGGGTGGGCAATGTTTATTATTTTATTTTATTTATTTATATTTGAATTTATATCCCGCCCTACCCCGAATGCCATGAATGCTGTGCATGTTTCAAATAGCCTATACCTTCCAAAGGCAAGAAGTTGCAGATAGGTTGTTTAAGCTATGCGGGTCTCCACTGGGGCCATCTCTGGACAAGGGTCTGCATGGGAGCCCCTCCCCCCCATTCACTCTGAGAACGTAAGAGAAGCCATGTTGGATCAGGCCAACGGCCCATCCAGTCCAGCACCCTGTGTCACACACTGGCCAAAACCCAGGTGCCCTCAGGAGGCCCACCAGTGGGGCCAGAACTCCAGAAGTCCTCCCACTGTTGCCCCCCAAGCACCATGATGACAGAGCCTCTCTAACCCAGACAGAGTGCTCCATCTATACCTTGTGGCTAACAGCCACTGATGGACCTCTGCTCCAGATGTTTCTCCAATCCCCTCTTGAAGCTGTCTATGCTTGTAGCCGCCACCACTTCCTGCGGCTGTTAATTCTATGTGTTAATTACTCTATGGGTGGTGAAGTGCTTCCTTTTATCTGTTCTAAGACTATTGCTCCTTAGTTTCATGGAGTTCTTGCACTGTGAGAAAGGGAGAAAAGTCCTTCTTTCTCTGCCTTCCCTATCCCATGCGTAATTTTGTAAACCTCGATCACGTCACCCCCTCAGTCGTTGTTTCTCCAAGCTAAAGAGCCCTGACCTCTTTCACTTTGCTTCATAGGGGAGGTGTTTTGAGCTTTGCAGGATGTATGAAATACATTCTTAATAAGACACAGCCTTTGTTCAAATTGGGGGAATGCTAACAGTTGGAAAGGACGCAGATTTTACTTGAAACGGGTACCTAGAGGACCCCCCCCACACACACACACACAATCAAATGAGTCACAAGTTGGACTTGGCCCTCAAAGGCTCATCTTCAAAGCTCTTAGAAACCACAGGGTCAGTCCTTCACCGAACTGGGGAAAACGGAGTCAGATCAGAGAGTAAGTGACTTGCGAGGGGCCACCCAGTAAGTCACTGGCAGAGAGGGAAGAAATGAAAACTAAATGCCAACAGGCATTCTCTTCCAATGCTGATATGTCCCACCCCCTCCTAAAGAACAGCAAGGTCACAGCAGCGTGGGAATTGTGTCTAGGAGGATGGTTCAAATTATGTATATGGTTTTTTTTCCCCCTTCAAAAAAAAAGTTCATTTCCATCAATTCTTCAATTGCAAAACCAACTCGAAACAAACACCAGATGGTGCAAGGAGGGATGAGAATATGGGCAACGCAGCCCAAGATCTATTTTGGTCTTTCTGCCATCTGGAACTGGTCACCCGCGTAGGCAGAATGCCAACCCAACTGGCCTCCATGGCCACGCTTACCTGATCTAGTCCCACACAAAACTCACAGGGGAAGGAGGGGAAGCTGCAGTTGGGAAAAAGTGTCTATTTTGCTATCTAGAACAACAAGACTGTCCATGTACCAAATGGTTGCCCTCGTCAGAGTTATATGCCAGTTGCAAATAGATATGTGACTACGTATTTACTGTTTATGGATGCTACGAATAAGCGGTATCAAATTAACTGAGTAAGGAGCCTTAACGGACTGATTGCTTGTCTTTGAAACCAATTGATCGATTAATCAGTAACATTTCATGATTCTTTGTTTTTTTGGGGGGGGGGGATTATCCAGTACCTATACCGCTTTTATATTCAAAGTACTCGAAGCAGTTAACAAAATGTTAACAGCCATCAAACAACAACACATGGAACGGTAAACAACAGACTAAAATTATCCTGAAATGGCAGAGTGGTCACAATTTCCACCAAGGAATCGCTTTGTTGCAAAGGATGCGCCGGGGAGGGGGATACCCTGGGTTACATGCACAGCTTAAAACAAGTCCAACAGTGTTGTGGGCAACGCTCCCGGAAAGCTGTGGAGTCTTGTGAGCAAAAATTCTACTTTGTGAGCTACTGGCATGTGAGCGAGCGATTTGGCTGCTGCTGCATAAATTAGTCTGCTCTGGAGCCCTCCTTCCTGAGCGAAGATGAAAATGTGTGAGCTGGAGGCTAAAAAACTGTGAGCTAGCTCACACTGACTCAGCCTAGCGGGATCACTGGTGGTAGCTGAAGGTCTCCCAGAATTACAACTGGTTTCCAGGCGACAGAGACCAGTTACCTTGGTGAAAGTGGCTGCTTGGGAAGGTGGACTCTGTGGCATTGGACCATGCTGAGGCCCCACCCCACCCCAAGCCCCGCCCTCCTCAGGCTCCACCCCCAAAATCTCCAGCTGGAGCTGGAAGCCCTTGTGGTAGGAGAAGACCAGCCGTGGAGGGCAGCAGTGGCTTCCCACGAGGGGTGCCGCACGAGGCCACCGCCCTTCCTCACTGCCAACACGCCAACTCTCCCTGCTCGCCCAGCATAGCATTTCCCCGCTGCCCCCAAGGCCTCTGCCTCGTCTGGGTGGAATTTCAGGGTCGCTAGCCTCCAGGTGAAGCAACCCGAGCCGCAGTGTTATAAGAGTCAAGTAACAAATAAATATACACTGCAAGGAACTTTTGTAAATCAATGTGTTGCGTTTATAACTATCATTCTATGGTTTCATAAAGTATGGGACTTATTTATGTTAGAGAGTTTTTCAATTTACAATTCCAAAGATCAAACTGAATGTGAGTTTTATAATCCGTTGACTATATGGTTCCCTATTTTGGGGTAAAATAACAATTGACAAATTTGTTTGGGAAACGATTAAAGAGGCTAAATATAAAATTATGTTGTATAATTAAGAGGTAAAGTAATTGTGCATAAAGTTTACAAAGTTTAAATCGTTATATTGGCAGGACACTGTTGCACCTAATGTGTATGCTGAATCTATATATTACAAAGTTAATTACAAAGCAGGTTCAATTGTATTCTACTATAAATGAACTGACTTTCTTTTTGACTTTGTATGGAAAAAAATTATGAATCATTCCATAAAGTGCATTGTGTGCTATTATAACATCCTTGTCAGGTACATATACTCAGTTCATTCAGTTTAATTAGGGAACACACGCACTACTGACCCTGTTAACAGGTGTTGAAAGGTTTAATCACCAGAGAACAGGGTCAGTAGCAGCTCCTTCCGGCAGGTAGCAGCACATATTTCTCCCAAAATTTGGGTACAGCACTTTAGCAGGGTTTTTGGGTCTTGTGCCCCTCCTTGCCCTGTAGTGACATCCCAGCCTCAGAGATCCATCTCAGGTATCCCAGACCTCCCTGAATGGGCCCCAGTTTCAGAGAGGGAGATCAAAGGTATAATTAACTCATTGGCTTCAGGGAAGTCACCTGGGGAAGACTTGATTCTGTCAGACTTTTATAAAGCTTTTCCCACATGGTGGTCATCCGTGCTAGCTACGGTTTTTACACAAATTAATGGTACAGGTTTAATTCCTTCTGGTTGGAAGTATTATTGTCCCCATTCATAAGAAAGGGGACAAAATAGACCCACGGAACTACAGACCAATAAGCCTGATAGATATAGCAGCTAAGGTTTATAGTAAATACCTGTTGTTCAAGTTGGATGACTGGGTCCTTGAGAATCACATCATCCACCCCCATCAAGCAGGGTTCAGGAAAGGTCTTTCCACCATTGACCACTGTCTTACTCTTCACCAGCTGGCTTATGCAAGCTTAAATGGCCCCACCAAGTCTCTATATGTAACGTTTGTAGATTTGGCTGCGGCGTTTGACTCCATCGATAGGAATAGCCTTTGGCAAAAACTGGCAGATCTGAATATTGATAAGTGGTTGTTATTCTTATTACATGATATTACATACAGATATTAGTGCCCAAATTAGAGTTGGAATGTCGAGGTCTCTAACAAAATTCCAATTCATAAAGGAGTGAAACAGGGGTGTGTGTTGGCCCCTTTATTGTTTAACTTGTATATAAGCAAAATTGTCAACAGTAGTATGCAGCCTTGAGAATGACAGGAGCGCTCCATCCACAAATCTTAGTTGCACAATGTGGTAAGAAGACTTATGAAGCCAGACTATATGAGAAAAATGGTATAATTTTTATACTTATGAATTATGTCTTTTAAACAGTCTTTTGTGGGACCGGCAATAAGCATCAACAGAACTACAAAGCCCCCCCCCCCCTTTTGGAAGACTTCGTGCAAGTAGAAGCGGGCTTGTAATTCTGGAAACTCCCATTGGGGCTTGACTTTTTAAAATACTGATGCAGAATTGACTGGTAGTTGTTAAAACTGAATGGACTGAATATATGTACCACCTGACAAGGATGTTATAATAGCACACTATGCACTTTATAGAATGACAGTTATAAACAGAACATGTTAATTTACAAAAGTTTCTTGCAGTGTATCTTTATTCGTCACTTCAGCCTCCAGGTGGGTCCGGGAGGTCTCCCGGAATTCCAACTGTTCTCCAGACTACAGAGATCAATTCCCCTGAAGAAAATGGCTGCCTTGGAGGATGGACGCTCTGGCACTAAACCACGCAGAGGCCTCTCCCCTCCCTAAGCCCCGCCCTCCCCAAACCTCCCAGCATTTCCCAAGAGTTAGCAACCCTGTGCTGGATAGTAGAGCCGTATAAGACGCCCAAAGACACCTTTAGAAATGCCCTATCGTGTGCCTGAGCCTCCCCCTCACCAGCAGACCACAGCACGATCTCTGTACCGTGACGGCAAGGCAAATGGAAGATCGCAACAGTTAAAAAGAAGATGCAAATTCCCCCTCCCTGGCTCGAGAGGACACCTTTAGGGGGAAAAGTTTCTGCCGGCTGGAGATGTTGGTTGGAGAGCTCTGGCGCACCAAGGGGGAAGGGGAAACGGCTACGTTGTGGGAGGAGCCTCTTTCGGGCGGGCCTCGGGCATGCAAAAGGAGGCGGGAAGACGAGCTTGTTTACCCATGTACAGATGATCTTCGCTGGGGTCATCTAGCACCTGCCGAGGGAACAGAGAAGGAAACAGAGAAGAGGCACCGGAGATGAGAACAGGGCAAGACAACAACCGCCACGCGCCTCCCGATTCTGGGAGCAAACATGCTTCAGAATGTTACCCTGCAGTACTCCCAAGGACAGCCAGGGTTCTTGATTTCCCGGGATTCAGAGGCAGCCGAGAGCTTGCCAAGAGCTTGCAGCATTTCTGAGAAATCTCCATGTTTGGCTAGGAAGTCAAGATTCTAGATCTCACAGCTGCGGACCTGCTTCCTGCAGAGCAATCCTAAACAGGTCTACTCAGAATCCTTCTCGGGTATATTTGGTAGCCCTTACTCTCAGGTAATAGCGTTCCGTGCGCCTTGGGTGTTTAGTCATGCCGGCCACATGGCCACGGAAATGTCTTCGGACAGCGCTGGCTCTTCGGCTTTGAAACAGAGATGAGCACCGCAACCCTAGAGTCGGATTCGACTGGCTTTCGAGCAAGGGAAACGTTTACCTTTTAGTCTCGGGAAAGTGTTTTTAGGATGGCACTGTAAAACATGCAGGCAGTGTCCAGGAAAGGATGTTTGAGGAAGGAAGGAACTCGGCCCTCTCACTTTGCGCTGGGGCCACATCCAGCTTGACTCTACTTTTAAGAATGAATGGCCACTTAGGAGACATCCCCCTCCCTCCCTGGAAGCCCTGCCATATACACTGTGTCTTCCCATCACTGTCAAGCCCGCCCCACACACATCAGGGAGAGAGGGGGTTATGCCTTCGTGGCATAGCCCCCTCCCCTCCCTGTTTTATATTATATAATAATAATAGTAATAATAATAATAATAATAGTAGTAGTAGTAATAGTAATAGTAATTACTACTACTACTACTACTACTACTACTACAACATAATTATAAAATTACAATTTCCCTGCAGTTTTCCTACGCCAAACCCTTGGAAGTGGATACCCCCTACTCTGGGCCACCACAGCTTTTGTAAAAAATGTTTAAAACCGGCACTAGAATACAGTTCTATCGATATACCATTGAACTATAGGTTTGGCAGGTTCTCTGTATTCCCAAGATGGGTCGTCGTGTTAGTCTGTCCACAACAGTAGAAAAGAGCAAGCGTCCAGGAGCGCCTTCAAGACTTAACAAAATATGTGGCAGGGTAGGAGCATTCGTGAGTCACTCTATCTGAAGAAGTGAGCAGTGACTGACAAAGCTCACACCCTACCACATTTTTTGTTAGTCTTTAAGGCGCTACTGAAATCTTGCTCTTTTCTTCTGTATTCCCCACTGTCATTTGAAAAGACAAAGTCTCTTGTCCCTTCAGTGGCAAAAACATGTCTTTTTCCTTTAGATTCTGCAAGGGAAGAGACCAGAGACTTACTTTAAAAAAAAAAAAAAACAGCACTGAACCATGGGGCAGATAACCTGTCCGGAATCCATCAACGCCTTCACCCCAATCCCCAGTTCAGAGCCCGTCCCAAACCAGCCTCACCTCCACCAGCTTGACTACATTCGGATGGTCAAGTTTTTTCAAGATGGCGATCTCTTGATACACCTGCTCAATGGGGCCTTTGGGTTGGCAGAAGCCTTCCAGGGGGGGCTTGGCACCGCGTGGGGGAGGACGGCCTGTTAGAAACACACAAGGAGGAGTCGGATATGTGGTTTCTGGTCCGAAGATGATCCAAAGCTGCTTGTGAAGGCACAGGCTGTGGATACAGTTACCAGTCTCCGGGTGGGGCTGGTGATCTCCCAGAATTACAACTGAACTCCAGACGACAGAGGTCAATTCCCCTAGAGGAAATGGCTGGTTTGGAGGGTGGTGTCTATAGCAGGGGTCCTGTTTGGAATTCTGACACCGCATGGTGGGTGCCCTGATAAAATGGCTGCCACAAAATGGCTGCCGTAGGAGGCGGAGTCAGTCACAAAATGCTTGCCACAGCTAAAGTTCAATAACGCAGAGTTGATCACCTGTGCTGTGGTGGCAGCTGCTGCCAAAGAAACACTTTTTAAAAAATCTGCACAGCCAATCAAATCTCCAATGGCCAATCAGAAGCCTTGGTGGGCAAAAGCCCTGCTCACATCCTCAAAAAACCCTTGGCAGGTGCCAGAAAAAGTGTTGGCGGGCACCCATGGCACCCACGTTGGGGACCCCTGATCTATAGCATTATACCAAGCTGTGGTCCCTCCCAACCAAAGCTCCCTCTAAGTGGTGGAGTCTTGTGAGCAAAAATTCTACTTGGTTAGCTACTGGCATGAAAGTTTTGTGAGCGAGCGACTGGGCTACCGCATAAATTAGTTTGCTCTCTGGAGCCCTCCTTCCTGAGCTAAGGCAAAAATGTGTGAGCCGAAGGCTAAACAACTATGAGCTAGCTCACACTAACCCAGCTTAGAGGGAACACTGCCTCCCAACCCTAAACACCGCCCTCCTCAGGCTCCATCCCAAAATCTCTGGAAATCTCCCAACCCAAAGTTGGCAACCCAACCACAGCTGCACCCTACTGCTCACCAAGGTTCCCTCTAAGCTGTGGAGTCTTGTGAGCAAGAATTCTTTTTTGTGAGCTCCTGGCATTAAAGTTGTGAGCAAGCAATTTGACTACTGCATAAATTAGTGTGATCTGGAGCCATCCTTCCTGAGCTAGGACAAAATGTGTGAGCCGGGGGCTAAAAAACTGTGAGCTAGCTCACACTAACTCAGCTTAGAGGGAACACTGCTGCTCACATCACCCCGCGCAAACCCTCAGTGGGGAGAATTCAGGCCTTCCAGCTGAGTGTCGACATAAGGGAGGCAGATCTGCCCCCCCCCCCCGGTCCTTCTGCCATCGATGCCGTTCCTCAGCCTCGTCACAAACCTGCCTGCCGTTCGTTCCTCTCATTTCAAGTCACACAGTGTCTTGCTCGTCCCGTCCCAAGCAATGCTCCTTCTAAGCTGTGGAGTTTTGTGAGCAAAAATTCTACTTTGTGAGCTTCTGGCATTAAAGTTGTGAGCGAGCAGTTTGGCTGCCGCATAAATTAGTCTGCTCTGGAGCCACCCTTCCCGAGCTGAGACAAAAATCTGTGAGCCGGAGGCTAAAAAAACCTGTGAGCTGGCTCACACTGACTCAGCTTAGAGGGAACACTGATCCCCAAGGCCTTACGGCAGGTCAACCCCCACATTTTGATAGCCTCCCTCTGCTTCTTACTTACGAGGAAACCCCGCTTGTCTCATCAGCTTCTTTTTGGAAAGCACTTTCATTGCCTGGAAGACAAATTAATGCACGGCTAAGATCAGGGCACTGAAAGCAGAGGGTGCTCAGAACCTCCTTGTCTCTGAAGACGGAAAATATATATTGCAAACAGCCTTCGTGTAGGAAGCAAGAGAAGCCGCGGCCTGCCTGCACCGTCCAGACAGCAAGTCGTGTGGATGGCAGCTACTTTGAAACAGGGGCTTCATTCTCAAAGAAGCAACAGAACCAGCCACGGGAACACCCCCCAATGACCAGTTCCTGCATGAGCCAAGAAGCAGGCAAAAGAGCTCCGGTGTCCAGGGGTCATTTCGTAGGAAAAGAGGTGCAGGAGCTCATTAGCATAACTCATTAGCATCACTTATTTGCATATGCCATACCCCCTGACATCAACATGTCAGAAGGCAACACCCACCGCTCAGGCTCCACTGGACTGTTTTCGATTGCTACCTATTGGGGGGGGGGGGAACGTGCAGATCTGTCCTCACAGAGGAGGGAGAGCTTGTACCTGAATCAAACTTGGTCTTAAAGGTGCCACTGGACTGTTTTGGACTGGGGGGTCGGGGGGCTCTGCAGCTTACCTGGCTGCTTCTTGCTCTGACTGAGGGCTGCTGGGAGCAGGGGGTGGGGTTTGTTGCATGTGCCCGCCCCCTGGGCTCTTTACTGCCGGAGCTCCGCTCCTGTGCGCTCCTGCAGGAAATGACCCCTGGGTGTCACCCTGACCAGTACAGAGAGCGACAGAGGTTTTGGCAACATTCTTCCTTAAACAGCTCACTCCCGTTTGCCTCGCTCTGGGCTTGCAGAACCTTCACTGCCGGCTCCTTTGCTTTGGAGAAGACAGCCAAGATGCGTCCCAGCAGGGAAGCACGGCATGTTTTATTTATTTATTTCCTCCAGTTTATACCCCACCCTCCCGGCAAGGCATGCTCAGGGTGGGTGCCAACCTATAATAATCTGCTGAGTGCAGATTTACATCATAAAATAACAAAAATACATGCAATAAATACAATAAAATAAGTACAACACTAAATACCTTAAAATAAATTATACCTCAACAGACACATGAGAGCGACTCATTGGCGGGAGGAGGGGGGAGGCCAGATTGAATCGGACACCTGCTGCCTGAACTGAAGGCCTGGCGGAAGAGCTCCGTCTCGCAGACCCTGCGGAACTGTCAGAGCTCTCGCAGGGCCCTAATTTCTGACGGGAGCTCATTCCACCGGGCAGGGGCCAGGGCCGAAAAGGCCCTGTTCTGGAAAGACCTTACTGGTGGAACCCACAAGCTGGTACAAGCCAGATTAGACTCCTGCAGTACACGTCACCGGAGTCTATGGAGCCTGCAGCCACAAGCACAGGAAGAGGCGGCGGGTGAGTTTATGCCACTGATTGCTGATGAGGTCCAAGTCCAATTGACCTCTATAACATTGGCCAACGCTACTGGGAAGTATTCTGCTCACCCCTGCTTACCAAGGGGCCACCAGCGGCTTTCCCAGTCAATCAGCCTGCCCCACCTGTGCTGTTCCCTGCACCCGTCAAGGCTTCACAGAGCTGCCATGGGTCCTATTGGAAACCCGTGAATATAACCATGAAAAATTTATAAAAAACAGTATGTGAACCCTTAACAAACGTTATGAAAATTGTGTTTATCTCCTATTTATGGCCCCTTCCAACTCTATGATTCTACAATTCTATTTTGTTGGAGATGCTTTAGGCTGGTCTTGCATTGGACTAGATCAGTGATGGCGAACCTTTTAGAGACCGCGTGCCCAAGCTGCGACCCAAAACCCACTTATTTATCACAAAGTGCCAACACGGCAATTTAACCTGAATACTGAGGTTTTACTTTAGAAAAAACAACTCATACATTAACTTAAGATGATCCAGACAAAGTAAGGAAAGCAATCCCAAATGCTTTCATCTACTTAAAATTATTTGGCAGAGAATTCCACACTTTAATGACGGTCTGGGCCTGGCTGGGGCGATGTCAACCATGCCCACAGAGAGGGCTCTGAGTGCCACCTCTGGCACCCGTGCCATAGGTTCGCCACCACTGGACTAGATGGTCTGTATGGCCCCTTCCAACTCTATGATTCTATGACTCTATGAATGAAGAATATTAAACTAAATGTCTCTGGTGTCAGTCCAATTTCTGAAGACGCCTCAAAGTCCTAACAAAATTCCTATCTGAAGCTGCCCTTCCCAGTGAAGCAACAAAGTCCGATGTCGATGGAGCCAAAGCAATCCTATTAAAGGGGCACCGGTAAAAATCCCGTTTCCACGGTGATAGAGCAGCTTTATCAGACCAGACTACGAAGTAAGAAGACTCAATGTATTATGGATATGTTTGGCTGCGGTACCTGTTTCCAAAGAAGATGCAGTGGAAAGGGTATTTTTACCTATGCCCCATTAACAGGATCGTTTTGGCTCATAAGAACATAAGAGAAGCCAATGTTGGATCAGGCTAATGGCCCATCCGGTCCAACACCGGGTCACCTAGTGGCCAAAATCAAGGTGCCATCAGGAGGTCTACCAGCAGGGCCAGAACTCCAGAAGCCCTCCCACTGTAACCTCCCAAGTGCCAACAATACAGAGCATCACTGCCCCAAACATAAGAACATAAGAGAAACCAATGTTGGATCAGGCCAATGGCCCATCCAGCCCAACACTGTATGTCACACAGTGGCCAAAAATACCAGGGGCCATCAGGAGGTCCAACAGCAGTGGGGCCAGGACACTAGAAGCCCTCCCACTGATGCCCCCCCCCCCAAGCACCAAGAATACAGAGCATCACTTGCCCCTGACCGAGAGTTCCTATCTATACCTTGTGGCTAATAGCCACTGATGGACCTCTGCTCCATGTTTATCCAGTTCCTTCTTGAAGCCATCCATGCTTGTAACGGCCACTACCTCCTGTGGCAGTGAATTCCATGTGCTAATCACTCTTTGGGTGAAGAAGGACTTCCTTTTATCCATTCTAACCCAACTGCTCAGCAATTTCATGGAGTGCCCACGAGTTCTTGTATTGTGAAAAAGGGAGAAAAGTACTTCTTTCTCTACCTGCTCTGTCCCATGCATAATCTTGTAAACCTCGATCATGTTACTCCTCAGTCATCGTTTCTCCAAGCTAAAGAGGCCCAAGTGCTTTAACCATCAACATCGGACTTTATTGCTTCACCGGGAAGAACTACTTCAGATAGGAATTTTGTTAGGACTTCAAAAATTGGACTGACACAAGAGATATTTAGTATAATATTCTTCATCCATAACATTTGTTAAGGGGTCACATACTATTTTTATAATTTTTTCATTATTATATTCACAGGTTTCAGGTCTTTTGTTAATTTTCTCCATACCATGAATCTCCTCTTTTTTCTTTGTTATGAGTGCTATTGGAGAAAAGAGACAGACACGCTGTATGTTCCCCGAATGTTGCCCCAGTGGGGCAAGCAAGCAGCTCTTTGTGCCTTATCGGGGTGGCAAACTGGAGCCAGGGGCTGGGGGAAGTTAAATGCCCCGCACCACACAGCCCTGATCCAAACTGGGGGACTGCAAAGCTGCTATTCGCAAATGGTGGAAAAGAAGACACACTTTTCCAGTTTGGCCCCGAGGCAGAGAATGCTGTCAAGGCATGATTCGAACTCAGAACCCTCCACTCCCAACAACTTTCTGTTGCATCGGAAACAAACTCACATAGTAGGTGTTGTCATCTTCGTTGTAGGCCAGCTTCACGACCCCGTAGGAGCCCTGTAGGGGGGCGGGAAATCACAGATGCAAAAATGAGTTATAGGCTGGGGATGACTCAGCAAACAGGGGCACGTTCTTAAATGGGTGGCCATTTAAAGCGGTTGTTCAGCCTGCAAGGGGAAAGCACTTGCTCTGGTGAGAACAGGCAAAGATAGCCTGGTCTGGAACTGCAGTTCTCCAACATTTAAGACAGCACATATAGCTTTGTTTCGAATTTCTAAAATTAAAATCGGCAGCACAGCTCTTGCCAAGACAACCCATATGGATTTCCCCAACCTCTGACCAATGGGCAGATACTCCCCCGCTTGCAGCTGCGGGGGGGGGGGGAGAAGGAGGAGGAGAGATTGGATTTATACCCCGCCCTTCACTACCCAAGGGAGTCTCAGAGTGGCTTACAAACTCCTTTCCCTTCTCCTCCCCACAAATGACACCCTGTGAGCAGTGTTCCCTCTAAGGTGAGTTAGTGTGAGCTATTTCACAGTTTTTAAGCTCACACATTTTTGTCTTAGTTCAGGAAGGCTGGCTCCAGAGCAGACTAATTTATGCAGTAGCCAAATCGCTTGCTCACAACTTTATGCCAGTAGCTCACAAAGTATAATTTTTGCTCGCAAGACTCCGCAGCTTAGAGGGAACAGAGGCATCCTTCTTCTCCTCTTGTGCCCTCAGCCCACAACTGGAAAAATCGCTGGCCCACGCAGCGACTTTGTGAATCACAGACCGAAAACCTACAACCAAATTCCAGGTCGCAAACTGCCCTTTTGTTCCCCCCCCCCCTGGGGGGGGGGGGGGATGCGCCTAAAACTCCAGCACCCCGCAGCCTAGCTTGCCACGTCCAAATTTCAGAGAACAAAAAAGACCCCAAAGCATTCACCTTTCCGATTTCGTCTTTCAACGTATATTGATTTAGCTGCACGCAGTCCTAGGAGAGAGGAGAGAGGAGTTAAAAATACACGAGCCCGCAGGCTATGCCGAGACTGAAAACGATGTCATTCATGTATGTTGCATTACTCACAGGGGGGGGGGGGGGGGACGGGGGACGGACAAATGCTTTTCCTTTTTATATCTGTGCTAAACACACCTGACCTCCAGCAGACATATTGATATGCTCCCAGGAAAGGACCAATGCAAAGGGAGCAGCAGAAAAGGGAATTTGTCTAATGCTGGAGGAGGAGGACATTGGATTTATACCCCGCCCTTCACTACCTGAAGGAGTCTCAGAGCGGCTTACAATCTCCTTTCCCTTCCCCTCCCCACGACAGACGCCCCGTGAGGGAGGTGGGGCTGAGAGAGCTCTCTTGAGGACTGCCCTTGAGAGAACAGCTCCGAGCGAACTTGTGACTGGCCCAAGGTCACACCAGCGGCTGCATGCGGAGGAGGGGGGCATCAAACCTGGTTCTCCCAGATCAGAGTCCACCGCTCTTACCCACTACACCAAAAGCAATGCAGGCAAGGGAAGAGCATGGGATTGTGGGACTTCGCACACACACACAAGGTCACATTTAAACTGGGCTGCCTCCCACACAAAGCCGCTTACACAGCGCATGCGGCTCTTTTCACAGGGGGCAGCCCTGCTTAAATGCAATCCTATGCAAGTGCAAACTCCCTAAGGCCAGTGGTTTTTCCTCTCCAGCGTCGCTTTTCAATCAGGCCAGAGCCAGGGGCCGTCCCCCACATCCTGCAACCACAGATTCCATAATATTTGCTCCCATTTCCAACAGAAGGGGAAGCGCAGGCAGAAATATGAGCTCGTCAGTTACATTCCTTGGGTTGTGAAGTGTCAGCGGAGCTTACAGCCACTTTGGGCCAAGATAAATCTTCTCAGCCCCTAGCAATAATATTTGCGTTTTATTAGTTGTAAATGGACTGTGGTATTTTCTGGGCACCGATAACAGCCGACACTGAAAACAGCGAGTGAGAAGCCAATGAAACCCAGTCGAGACAGCTGGATTAAACAAAACAGAAGCCTTCTTCGCGGGCGTTCGACACATCAGGCCTATAATGACCAGGAAGCAGAGCTCCTTTTATAGCGTCTTAAACATACTGGCTGATTGTTGTTCAAGACAGCTCCTGGGCATGAAATAATGATGAACTGTACAGCGACTTTTCCCCAGCACCTCCCTGCCTGTCACTTATTCATTGCCCCATTTGCAACGTAGACATGGAGAAGAAACACCAAGTTAAAAGGAAATATTAAAAATAGCAGTTGAATTCTGAGTCAGAAGAAATTAAAATATAAACGAAGGTAGAACGCTGAAGTAAGCTCTCAAGGCTTCATGCCCGGGGGAAGTATTTTGGGACTTAAGAACATAAGAGAAGCCAATGTTGGATCAGGCCAATGGCCCATCTAGTCCAACACTCCGTATCACAGTGGCCGAAAATACCAGGTGCCATCAGGAGGTCCAGCAGGGGGGCCAGGACATTAGAAGCCACCACACACACTGTTGCCCCCCCCCAGGCACCAAGAATACAGAGCATCCCTTGCCCCAGACCGAGAGTTCCTACCTATACCTTGTGGCTCATAGCCACTGATGGACCTCTGCTCCAGATGCTTATCCAGTTCCCTCTTGAAGCCGTCCATGCTTGTAGCTGCCACCACCTCCTCCTGTGGCAGTGAATTCCATGTGTTCATCACTCTTTGGGTGAAGAAGGACTTCCTTTTATCTGTTCTAACCCGACTGCTCAGCAATTTTATGGAGTGCCCACGAGTTCTTGTATTGTGAGAAAGGGAGAAAAGGACTTCTTTCTCTGCCTGCTCTATCCCCTGCATAATCTTATAAACCTCGATCATGTCACCCCTCAGCCGTCCTTTCTCCATGCTAAAGAGCCCCAAGCGCTTTAACCTTTCTTCTTTAACCTTTCTTTAACCCAGGCGCTTTAACCTTTCTTCTTCTTTAACTTGGCTTTGAAGTGTTTGAAAATAACCCCTCTTTTCCACCTTGTTACAATTAGTGTCAAAAATCTGCTGCCCGTCGCCAGGGTAGCATTGACAATCCAGATTAATCTTGTCCGAAATTTCCAAATGACTGACGAAGAGTTGATTTTTATACCCCACTTTTCATTAGCCAAAGGCGTCTCAGAGCGGCTTACAATCTCCTTTCCCTTCCTCTCCCCACAACAGACACCCTGTGAGGCAAGGTGGGGCTGAGAGAGCTCTGAGAAAGAACTACTCTTGAACTTGGTTCTCCTGTCCGCCGCTCTTAATCACGACACCACACTGGCTTCGGTGCTTATTATTTATTTAAACGATTCATATCCCACCCTTCCCGTAAAAAAAAAAACCCCAAAAAACTCAAAGCAGCTTACTGAAGAAGACAGCAACATCAAATAAAATGCTTGTGTACTGTTGAATGGCCAACAAGGGGCAATATGCGTATTTTGAGACTTTCGCAAATGACGGGTTGGACCCAGCGCTTGCACTAGACCTCTTGCACAGACGGAAATCCAAGGAAGAAAAAAAAGGAGAAGCCATTTGTGCTAAGTGAAACATTTTGCATCCCCACCTGTATTTCCATTTGCAGAAGACTTTTGCACGACTAATTTCGGAGCGCTATAATCAGTGAGGAGAGCACGAAGCCTTGCACTAGATCTGTGCGAGCTGCACTGCACTAAGTCTGTTTCAGTTGCCACTTGGACGCTGCTGGATCTACGCCTTTGTCTGGAACGGCCAATGCTGAACACATTTTGATCTTCCACCATGACACAAAAATCCACTTCTTTGGCCAAGCCAGCCAAACGATTGCTTGGCGGGGGTGGGTGGCATAATGCGGAGGGCACTGAGGCACCATGGGGCGGGTGGGGGGGAGGCTCGGCTAGTTCCTTCCCACCAGCCAATCCTGGGTTAGTCACATTCAACTCAAAGAATCTCCTGCCTTTCTAACCTCCTAATTATTATTTTTTTACCCTAACTTTCCCTCGCCCTGCCATGAACAGAAGCGGAACTGACAGAGAGTGAGGGGGGGGGGGGAGAATGTTATCCCACAAGCTTTTTGGTGACAGTTCCTCCCCTTGCACTTCCTCGCTTTCCTTCTCTTCTAAACCAATTGCACACTTCCCCATCTGCTGCATAAAACATGCATTGATTTCATGCGGGGAGATGGGTGTGCATTAGCATAAGTGCGCCTTCCTTTCTAATGCATAATTGAGAGAGAGAGAAAGGGCGGCGAGAGCGTCAGTTCCGCCCACCACTGTTTCTAACCAGCCGCCCTTGCCATAGATCACGCCATTCCCTAGATGGATTACCAAGGTGCTTCTGTCCCCCCCCCCCCCCCCCCCACTCACACACATTTATCTCCTCCCAACTTGCAACCTGTCACTTCCCCTCGCCAGCAAAACTCCGATCTACGGGGCTCTATTAACAGAGCAATTCAGACAAACGTGGCTTCTGCTCCAGGAAGCAGAAAGGTGGAACAGATGCCTGCCAGGGACTGACGGCTGTTGCAGGGCACGGAGGAGGCTTGTCTTTTAAGTCACTGCTGCCCCATCAGCAGAACGACATTTGACATTTCCGTTGGTGGAGGAGGGGAGGGCAAAGCATGCCAGTCCCCCCCCCCCCCGTCCTCACGGTGACCTGCAGGAACACAATTTGAGGGGAGAGAACGGGTAGGCCTTCCATTACAAAGCGCCGCTTACAATTCCAAAGGTCTTTATTTCCCCTTTGGGCAGAACTAGCTGAGTATAAATCAAGCCTGAGTGTTCCCTGGAAGGCTGGATACTGAAGCTGGAGCTCAAATACTTTGGCCGCCCAATGAGAAGGGAGCACTCGCTGGGGAAGACCGAAGGTAACAGAAGAAGGGGATGGCAAAGGAGGAGATGGTTAGACGGTGTTAGCGATGCAATGAACATGAAATTAAGCAAACTCTGGAGGACGGCGGAAGACAGGAGGGCCTGGCGTGATGTGGTCCATGGGGCCGCGAAGAGTCGGATTCGACTGTGTGACTGAACAACAACAACAAAAATAAATGCAGAATACTGTTACAGGGACGACACTGTCAGTTAGTTACACCACTGGGAGTTAGAAGAGGGCATTTTTATATGACTGTCAAAGCAGGATTTCGTATGTATCATAACAGGATTATAGGAATATATGTATTGTTCCTAAAAGTTCCTAAAAGAAATCAACCCTGACTGTTCCCTGGAAGGCCAGATACTGAAGCTGAAGCTCAAATACTGAAGCTGAAGCTCAAATACTTTGGCCACCCAATGAGAAGGGAGCACTCACTGGAGAAGACCCCAATGCTGGGAAAGATTGAAGATCAAAGAAGAAGAGGACGGCAAATGATGAGATGGTTAGACAGTGTTATCGAGGCAATGAACATGAAAGTAAGCAAACTCGGAAGCACGACGGAAGACAGGAGGGCCTGGCATGATGTGGTCCATGGGGTCACGAAGAGTCGGACTCGACTGTGCGACTGAACAACAACAACAACAGGATTTTATATCGGAGTGTCAAACATGTGGCCCGGGGGCCGGATGAGGCCCCGGGAAGGCTTCTATCAGGCCCACAGTGGAACTGGCTGTCTTCTGCTTCTTCTTCCAGTTCTGCTGCTGCTGCGTCATCGTAGGTTTGCAGCTTACAGATACACACCTGAACAGCATACTCAAGATTGCAACAGCACAGACATTTTGATGCAATAATTCAGAGCAAGAGGTGAAAGTTATCAGACACTGTAAATAAACAAAATAATGCAAGAGTGCTAATGTTTTAAGCATGTTTTTATTTTAAGTTAAAAAAAACCCTTTTGTGTTTGTGTCCTTTATAAAGTTTATATCTCCACTACCTGGCATTACATTTTATGATACACGTGGCCCGGCCTAACAAGGTCTCATTTATGTCAGATCCGACCCTCATAACAAATGAGTTCGACACCCCTGTTTTAGATGTACTGTGATAGGATTCCAAGCATTGTAAGTCGCTGCGCGATCCTCTGGGTGAGTGGTGGCTAAAAAAATCTAACAAATAAAAATGATTCGTTAAAAAAATGGCGTATGGTGTGGCTTCCTCCCTTAAAATCATGTGCAAGAAGTCTGTCTGTGTGCCCTTGCCTTGCTGGTTAGTAGGGATGTCAGCCTCCAGGTGAGACATGGAGATACCCAGAATCCGAGCTTATCTCTAGACTACAGAGATCTGTTCCGCTGGAGAATATGCATGCTTTGGAGGGTGCACGCTATAGCACTGTGCCCCACTGAGGTCCCTGGCCTCCCCAGTCACCACCCCCAAATCTCCAAGAATTTCTCCAACTTGAATACAGCCTTAGGGTGAACTGCGGGGAAAAACCTAGTCAAAACATGCATCAAGAACTTAGATGTGCGCTGCAGAAAATGCATCGTTGGGACAAGAGATAGCTCTGTTTAAAGAGCTCTGCAGTTAACCGGCCGAGACAAAGACGCCTTGCAGTGCAGTTTTCAGCTGTTCCTTCAACTGTTCGACACACCTGCCCCTGCTGAAGGAACCATTAAGGGTATACCAACAGAATGCAGATATCGGCCCAACAGCATTGGGGACGGAAGACAAGGATGAGCTAGAATAATTTGGTTGCCTTTGCAAAGCGCGTATCCAGAGACTGCTTTCAAACGGCTTCCCCTTACCTGCAAACCGGTGATAGAAACTCTGTGGGATTCTATCGTCGGCCTCCGGGGCAGACGAGGCGAAGAATGTGGTGACGTGACCGGAGAATAAGGGAGAGAAGGATAGATGTAGCGTCCGTTTAGGCCCACGTTGCCACCGGGAGACTGGACCGACTGGGACCTCTCCTGGAGAGAAAGTTTCCGACTCGAAAGATTCAGTTTGCTTCGCGGTTCCTTCAAATCACCCTCCAGAGCACTGCCGAGGAGACCCCGCTCCTCCATTTCTCCAGGATCCGACGCCACGGGCTGTCCCTCACATGGCTCCATTGGTTCCTCGTCCTCCAGGCCGTCTGGCTGCCCCCCTCCAGGCCTAGCGGTAGAGTCATACTCCGTCACGACGACAAAAGAATCCATGGTGCCCAGGCAGTGGACATTCAGCGCCGAGAAGCAACGCGGGAATTCGGGAGCTTCTTGGGGTAGGCTGAGGGGCTCATCGCGGCCTACACGCTTCTCTGTGGCAGGCCTGCGGGAGATGCATGTTGTCATGGTGTGTCCGACAGCGACATTCCAGTTGCTTGGTTATCTCCATTGGACGCTTGAACAAAAAGAGAACAAAGGGCAAAAATAGTTAGATGGAGGGAGAGGATCACGGCTTCATCAGAAACTGCTAGCCCACGAGGCCACATTTAAATTCAGGGGCTGGGTCTATGCCAGGGGTCCCCAGTCTTTTTCGGCTGGTAGGCACCTTTGAAATTCTGACACAGTGCGGTGGGCCCAGCCACAAAATGGCTGCCACCACTTAGAGGCACCTTTGAAATTCTGCCACAGAATTAAATTAATTAAACTGATTAAATTCCGCCACAGAATTAAATTAAACTGATTAAATTCCGCCACAGAATTAAACTGATTAAATTCTGCCACAGAATTAAATTAAATTAAACTGATTAAATTCTGCCACAGAATTAAATTAAACTGATTAAATTCCGCCACAGAATTTAATTAAACTGATTAAATTCCGCCACAGAATTAAATTAAACGTATTAAATTCTGCCACAGCTCAGAGGCACCTTTGACATGGCAAACCAGGCACAAACACAATATGTTAAAATGCTCTCTATTGAGCAGCGATAGAAGGACATCAATGTTTTCTCACTCAAGTTAGCTACCATAACATATCATTTTCCTGGGCAGGACCAGGTCAAAAGCTGGGGGGTGGGGTGGTCTCAGGACATGAACAGAGCGAAATCTGGCAGAGTGAACCCTGGGCAGGAGCTGGATTTTACTGACCCCGATATCGGTTACCTGATATAACAAAGCTTTGCCGGGCAGACTTACAAAATGCAGACGGGCCGCCCATTCAGAAGCTTGCTCTTGGCTGCCATGTTACTCGTGTTACTGACCGGCTGGATCTTAGGGAAAACTTTTTGACAATGAGAGTTGTGCAACAGTGGGGATCAGCTGCTTAGGGAGGTGGTGAGCTCCCCCGCCCCCACTGGCAGTCTTTAGGCAGCGGCAGGACAAACACTTGCCAGGGGTGCTCTACGCTGATCCTGCACTGAGCAGGGGGTGAGACTGGATGGCCTGTAGGACCCCTTCCAACTCTGTGATTCTATGGGTGCGTTCAGACGTGGCGTTTCAGCTGGCATAAACTGTACCGGTTGGAACCGGTGCAGTTTATGCCGGCTGAAACGCGATCACACTTACCTGCTGTCTGCGGAGCCCATCGCTGTATGCCCGTTCACACGCAGCGGGCGTCGGCGTTTTTGTTTTAAACTCATTTTGAGCATGCGCATAGGCAGCCATCCACAGAATGGCGATCTTCACACATGTGCAAAACACCCCGTCTTACCTTTAAAGTTTAAAGGTAAGGACTTACCTTTAAAGTTTAAAGACCAAACTGGCCTCCCTGAGGTCTCGGAGTCCTCCAAAACCTTAAACTAAGGACCTTTTTTAAAAATATAAAATAAACGCCGGGGCGAAGCTTCGCCCAAGCACATATCGCCGACCTAACAAAAAAAATGGCGGGCGAAACTCGGAAGCCTCGGGCTTCTGAACGGAAGTGGCTCTACAATGTTGGAGAGCGATCAGACGGGGGTAAAGCGATTACAACCGTTGCACTCAGGATACCACCACTTGGGGACCTAGTGGCAGAATACAACGGTGTAAAGCTCTTTGCAACGGTTAGGGACGGAAGGCAGATGTTCGTTGTGTGAACGCCGGTAAGTACACCGATTCCAACCGGCACCTATTCCGTTGCAAATGCCCCGTCTGAACGCACCCTATGATTCTATGATTCATGTGACAGTCTTTAAATCAGGACAAACCATTCCTGCAGGAGGGAAACCTGATTCTGCAACCTGCATACGTTACACAACTGCCTTCTTGCTTTGCACCATCTATGCTCTCCTGCGACGCATGGGAAGGCACAAAAAATAGTGCAGCCCACCCTGCCTCAAAGAGCTTACCATTTAAAGAGGGACGGTCAGAAGGCGGGGGTTTTCTTACCTCAGCCTATGGGTTGCCAACCTGCAGGCGGGGACTGGAGATCACCTGGAATGGCAACTGATCTGAAGAAGTGAGCCGTGACTCACGGAAGCTCCTCCCCAGCCATAAATGTTGTGAGCCTTTAAGGTGCTCCTGGACACTTGCTCTTTTCTAGTGATCTCCAGACGACAGAGATCAGTTCCCTTCAGGGGTCATTTCGTAGAAAAAGAGGTGCAGGAGCTCATTAGCATAACTCATTTGCATATGCCACACCCCCAGCATCACCAGAAGTGGGTCAGAAGGCAACACCCACCGCTCAGGCTCCACTGGACTGTTTCGCATTGCTAGCTATTGGGGGGGGGGGGAACGTGCAGATCTGTCCCTGCAGAGGAGGGAGAGCTTGTACCTGAATAAAACTTGGGTCTTAAAGGTGCCACTGGACTGTTTTGGACAGGGGGGCCGGGGGGAGCTCTGCAACGTACCTGGCTGCTTCTTGTTCTGACTGAGGGCTGCTGGGAGCAGGGGGTGGGGCTTGTTGCATGTGCCCACCCCCTGGGCTCTTTATTACCGGAGCTCCGCTCCTGTTCGCTCCTGCAGGAAATGACCCCTGGTTCCCTTAGAGAAAATGGCTGCTTTGGAAGGCACACTTTACGGCATCATACCTAGAATTGTAGAACCATAGAGTTGGAATGGATCTCCAGGGTCATCTAGTCCAACCTTCTGCACAGTGCAGGAAATTCACAAATATCTCCCCCCCACACACACACCCAGTGACCCCTGTTACATGGCCGGAAGATGACAAAAAACCTCCAAGATCCCCATCAAACTGGCCCGGAGAAAAATTGCTTCCGGACCCCAAAGTAGCGATCAGCCACTCCAGGCTCCACCCCCAATCTCCAGGTACTTCCCAAGCAGGAGTTGGCAACCGTAGGACAAGCTGTTGCCTACAGTTGCCAACCTCTAGATGGCTCCCGGAGATCTCCCAGAATTACAAGTCATCTCCAGACGACAGAGATCAGTTCCCCTGGAGAAAATGGCTGCCTTCGAGGGTGGACTCCATGGCATTACTCTGCTCAAGACACTCTTTTCCCCAAATGCCACCCTCCCAAGCTCCACCCCCAAGTCTCCAGGAATTTCCCAGCCAGAGTTGGCAACCCTACTGCCGCCGCCACCACCACAGCGAAAATTCCCCTGCTCCAGAAGATGGCTGTCCCCTCTTCGGCCTCCGCCACTCCAACTTGGAAGGAAACGGCGTCCAGTTCATGAAGGTGTGAACACATTTCAACAGTCCAAAATGAGGAAAACACGACTGACAGGCATAATAAATTTAGAGTCCAGTGGCACCTTTAAGACCAACAAAGGTTTATACCTTTGTTGGTCTTAAAGGTGCCACTGGACTCTAAATTTGTTCTGCTGCTTCCGACCGACATGGCTGACTACCTGGATCTGACAGGTATAATGTGCCGGATGATTTTGATGGTAATCAAGAAAATCAGTGCTGTTTCGGGGAGAGAGAAGCAATCCGGTTTTACTGAACACCTGATAAATTAATCCAAAATGTGTCTGTTGTTGCCTTCTCCAGCATTCAAAAGGTACCAAGATGAGATTTAGGTGGGGTGGGGGGGGGGGGGGGCGTCCAGAGTTTTGCCAGTCTCCACTGGGCAGCATTCCGCAGAGAAAAGCCTAAAGTTAGTTTGGTGTAGTGGTTAAGGGCGCGGACTCTAATCTGGGAGAACCGGGTTTGATTCCCCACTCCTCCACATGCAGCTGCTGGATGACCTTGGGTCAGTCACAAGTTCTCTCAGGAGCAGTTCTCAAAAGAGCTCTCTCAGCCCCGCCTACCTCACAAGGTGTCTGTTGTGGGGAGGGGAAGGGGAAGGAGTTTGTAAGCCGCTCTGAGACTCCTTCGGGTAATGAAGGGCGGGGTATAAATTCCTCTTCCTCCTCCTCCTCCTCCTCTTCTTCTAAAGATCTTTTCCTAAGATCTTCCAAATCATCTTCAAATTGCACGACCAATCTAGGACCTCAGCGTGCATATTTTGCTTTCCACCCTGCCTTGTGATAACTTCCTGGCCGACATCAAACCATCAGGGATAAAAAGGGGAAAACATCACACAGGTGTTTTTTTTCCTCCCCCTTCCCCGGTTATTCTTAACACTTCGGAATGGCAGTTGTCGAAATTAAGAGACACGCTCATCTAAAATTAAAATCCCTGTTAAAGTTGTGTCCTCCTGCCTAGCAACTCTGAATCAGTGTAACTGAAAGTAAGACGTCAGAGACACCAAAAAAACCCCAAACCTGTGAAGAGACAAACACATTATCTCTATAAACTGCACAATCGCTTGAATAACACACATAAGAAGGGGTCATTTCCTGCAGGTGCGCACAGGAGCGGAGCTCCGGTAGTAAATAGTCCAGGGGGCGGGCACATGCAACAAGCCCCACCCCCTGCTCCCAGCAGCCCTCAGTCAGAGCAAGAAGCAGCCAGGTAAGCTGCAGAGCTCCCCACCCGCCCCCCCGGTCCAAAACAGTCCAGTGGCACCTTTAAGACAAAGTTTTATTCAGGTACAAGCTCTCCCTCCTCTGCGAGGACAGATCTGCATGTCCCCCCCCCCCAACAGCTAGCAACCCAAAACAGTCCAGTAGAGCCTGAGCGGTGGGTGTTGCCTTCTGACACACTCCCGGTGATGCCAGGGGGTGTGGCATATGCAAATAAGTTATGCTAATGAGTTATGCTAATGAGCTCCTGCACCTCTTTTTCTACAAAATGACCCCTGCACATAAATTCCATTTTCTCCAGCCGTCAAAAGAGCTGGTTGCCCCTCACATCCACCCAACAGAATATGTTTTTATTTGATATTAAAATTCAGATTTGAGAGATAAGGGTGAGGTAAAAAAAATGTACTATAGAGATATAGAAAAAACGGAGACGCACAACAACAAAAATGGGGAAAAGGGTATCTTTATCGCTCCCTGGAGTAGACATTTGTGCCTGGCTAACACCAGAAATGTATGAAACTGGGTTACCAGCCTCCAGGTGGCACCTGGAGATCTCCCGCTATTACAACTGATTTCCAGACAACGAAGATCAGTTCACATGGAGAAAGTGGTTGCTTTAGAGGGTGGACTCTATGGTGCCATATGCCGCTGAGGTCCGTCCCCTTTCCAAGCCCCTCCCTCCTCAGTTTCCACTCCCCCAGTCTCCAGGTATTTCCCAACCTGGAGTTGGCAACGCTAGTATGAAAGGGCAACAGGAACACCCACAGCCACACCCCTGACGTTCTGGTCCAGTTGTCGTTCTGCAAGGAAAAATTTATGAGGTAAAATTAATGTCCTGAATTTCGACTGTTAGACACAAACATTTCAGTCCTCTGTAACAATCGGGGGTGCATAAATTATCTGCACTGTGAATTTCCACATTCTGCATAGAGCAGCTTAGCTATTTCGAGGTTCGCTCTGACTCTGCTGTTTTCATGTAGGGATTAGGGAAATAAGAAAAGAGTTATTTTTCCATATTCCCTCATGATAGACGAATCTCGGAGAGCAGGTTTTATTGAACTTCAGTTCCCTAGTTAATATGAAAGTTCTCCAACAACTCTGATACCCTTGGGAGTAACAGAGACCCAAGTATACAGAATAACAACATGCCCATTTTTCTTCACACACACACCCCGACCAATTCTTGAATTTGGCCTTTGCAGACTTGAGAAGATAAAACAAACAATATTAGTATTAAATTAGAAGAAGAAGAAGAAGAGAAGAGATTGGATTTATACCCTAACCCTTCACTACCCAAAGGTGTCTCAGAGCGGCTTACAAACTCCTTTCCCTCTCCCTCCCCACAACAGACACCCTGTGAGGTAGGTGGGGCTGAGAGAGCTCTTGACAGAAACTGCTCTTTTTCAAGAACAGCTCTTATCAGAACTACGGCTTGCCCAAGGTCATCCAGCAGGTGCGAGCGGAGGCGTGTGGAATCAAACCCGGTTCTCCCAGATTAGAGTCCACACACTCAACCACTACACCAAACTGGCTCTCTTATTTATTATTATTACTATTACTACAGAGAGTATTACACTGCTATTCCTGCCTACCCACTCTGCTTTCTGCAGAGAGATCATTGTGGACATACACTTGGTAGTGGACATGATTGAGGTTTATAAGATTATGCATGGGATAGAGCAGATAGAAAAAGAAGTCCTTTTCTCCCTTTCTCACAATACAAGAACTCATGGACACTCCATAAAATTGCTGAGCAATTGGGTTAGAACAGATAAAAGGAAGTCCTTCTTCACCCAAAGAGTGATTAACACATGGAATTCACTGCCACAGGAGGTGGCGGCAGCTACAAGCATGGACGGCTTCAAGAGGGAACTGGATAAACATATGGAGCAGAGGTCCATCAGTGGCCATTAGCCACAAGGTATAGATAGGCACTCACAGGCTGGGGCAGGTGATGCACTCTATTCTTGGTGCTTGGGGGGGGGGGTCAACAGTGGGGGGGCTTTTAGTGTCCTGGCCCCACTGCTGGACCTCCTGATGGCCCCTGGTATTTTTGGCCACTGTGTGACAGAGTGTTGGACTAGATGGGCCATTGGCCTGATCCAACATTTGGCTTCTCTTATGTTCTTATGGACCTCCGGTTTGCGGCCACCCATCACACATTAGATCTGCTACCCATTCTGCAAATGTCTTATGATGGTTTGCTTTTTACTTCAGCAGCCCAGACCACTTTGGCTTCCAGAGAAATCGCAACCTTAAACGGCAGCTTTGAGGAAGACAGGGAAAGACGATGCTTTAACAGTAGAGCAGCCAATATGGAGGCAACAAACAGGGCCAGGAAAGCTCTTCGGGCCAGCGTATCATCCCGACTCCATCAATTTAATAGGTAAATTACAGCCTTTATTGCATTCTCCACTCTAGCCTGTACTTAGGAAAGCTCATCTCATCTACTCGCGAGTCACGCTCTTGTCAAGTGCTGCCGTTTTTAAGGTACCCAATTGACACTAATGGGCCATTAGGTGGTGCTTTGCCCATTAAGGAGGGCCATGCCCACCCACTCAATAGCAAAAATGGGATCCGGGCTGCCTGGTGAATGAGGAGCAACAGAACCTGAACGGAGCACTTTGGGACGTGGTGCCTGAATGGTTAAGAAGCTTCTGGAAGGAGGGAAGAGAATGCTGGAACTCTGAGAGCTGAAGTTGCGGTTTATATGCTTCCTGTGTACTTGTTCCTTCACCCTTGAAATTAGGATTGCCAGCTCTGGATTGGGAAATTCCTCAAGATTTGTCCTCCCTAGACTCCATCTTCAAATCTCCAGGCGTTTCCCAACCTGGATATGGCAACCCTGCCCCCCACAATCCCCTGCCTATGGACTGGCAACCATATCCCTTCGTCAGATACAAGTGAAGGGGGGATAGTGCACGCCACATCTCGAGAAACATACGGGATTCATGTGTGCACCCTTCCCCCTCATTATTTCAAGCGGGATATATATATATATATATATATATTAT